TGTCGGTGTAGCTCGAAGATCAAATATAAATATGTATTGCACACGATAGACCTGATAAGAACACACCTAGGTCCTACATACCGTACAGCTCCCTACTCCACTTTCAATAATGCCCGACAAGATCCAGGTAGGCATACGATATCTGAACCCTGCAGCATGTTACTTGTCGCTTAGTCAACTAGTCATCTTTGTCACTGTTCGATACCATTGCTTTGCGATCGTGTGTACAAACTGACTCTGGAAATGGTCAATCGAAAACTAGTATTGCTCAATCTGTTAGGTTGCCCTATCAGACTGGAGCAGTTAGCTTTCTTGCGAAATCTTGCACAAACCCACACATTGTCAGGCTGAAATTCCTGACAATTCATAAATTCTAGCCAAGGGAGTATGAGGGCCACAACTTAAACGACCACAAGCCAGAAGATCGCTGCTCCAGTTACGTACTGTTGTGTGGGATGAGTGATGAAGGATTCAAAATTTGACTCATCAGAGGGTGCTCACCGTATTTGAGACGCTATTAACCTGTAATTTTCGTCGACACAGCATTCATCGCCATCACAAAGTGGCGGCAGCACCAACGCTTCATTGCACGATGCCCTGCATCCTAATCGTCCCTTCATCAGGAATATCTATCTTCCAAGCGCCAGGCTTGTCCCAAGACTTCGGTCAATACCTCCATTCAACTGATAAGAAATATTTCGCTACAACTTGGCGCTTGGAGACTCTGGGAAGAACATTAAATTAAAGTTCTGGTGAAAGAATAAGAAGCGGATATTACGAGGACCTGGATACCTGGCTCCAGGAAGCTGTAGTTATTGAAGGGATACGTGTTGACTTCCTAAAACGAGGCCGAAAGGATAGTGCTGGACGCTCGCGCTGGCAGTACCGGTTCCCCCTGGTCAGTGGGACAGGATCATTTCTTGGTAAATAGTGGATAGGGATCGTGGTGAAAAACATGACTTTGCTGGCACCATCGAGTGCGTTCTTTTATCGCTCATGTGCATGAGGGCCATCTGAGGGCACAATTCCTGTGTCCATCGTTATCCTGTCTGGGACCTGGACCTGCGCAATGAATGTTTTGAGGCACAACATACAAAGCCCTTGTACCTCGCGCTACTTGGCAAAACGCTTTTTATCGGCATTCAAGAGTCTGCATATAATCTGCAATAGGAGGAGCTAGTCCGATTGGTTACCTGTGATTACCATTGGGATATAACCACGTCAGCGTGCGCATATGATCATTATGATCAGTCTACAGGCTACTGGGTAACACGAACATCAACATGGAACCTATTCGAGGTTCGTGCATTGTAGAGTTCCTTGTTAGACCATGCGGCGTAAAACTCTAATGCTGACCGGTGTGGCGGGGCCTAACTTGTAGCAGAACATCCTACTTGGTGATCGACTCGTACCCGAAAGACAGGGAGGGAAACAACGTAGAACGAAGTCCGATTATAATGTGAATTGATAACTAGTTGTAGAAATTCCTGATCCGGGACTCCACTTCTTCAGGAGACAGCTTGATATCTAAAGGACGAGTTGTCAAAGGAAGTAGATTCGCGCAAAAATAAAGGATGACTTACACTTTTGAGGATCTGGTGAAGTGTTAGTTCATTGCGCACGACAAGGGCAAGAAGCTCACTCTTGCTGAACTCTCTCTCCTTCTGCTTTTGCATGAACCGTTGCAACGATGGAACAACCAGCTTTACTACCTCCTCCCCAACAGCGCTCCTCTCCTCTGGATCCTCATCCAACACTTTTGCCATTCGATGTCGTTCTCCAACCTCTTCAAGCAGGTCATAAAAGCGAGTAAACTTCTCCTTCGCTGCCGCCTTCCAACCGCTACCGCTCGTCTTATCTCGTGTGTCGTCGGCGAGCGCCTGCATGAGGGGTGAGAAGTTAGCATCAAAGTAACCTGCCTTTGCAGTACGCCATGACGAGGTGAGGAAGTCTATCGTAGGTTTAGACAGCAGGGAAGGTGTGTTGGGGTTTGTAGGGCGCAAGACGAGGTGAGACACAAGATGCGAAATGTTGTTGAGGAGGAACACAGAACCGAAGGGAGGTCGGCGTTGTGTGCGTGACAAAGTTGTGAGGCTTCCGATCAGAGTATTCATTACATCGTCTGCAGATTGAATGAATTATATTCGGATAATGGAAAGAAAAAACAACCCACAAACAAAGTGCTGAATCAAGACTTTTTCCTTCACCTCTACAGAGTTGGACTTTGCAGTTTTCCCTACTTGCTTTCCGTCACCCATTCTCCAGTTTCCATCCCCGAGCGCAGACAATGCAGACCCGACAGCGTCCTGGACATCAGGTATGCGATTCAGATACTGTACGGTCTACATTTGTTCAGTGCGGGTGAATACAAGGCAAAGGACTGTCTTAACATACCGATATAGTGATGTCCGCTAAGCTGACACTCAGGTCACTGCCCCCCTTGCCGACAGCGGCAAGCTTCAAATCAGCCAATAATTCGGGAAAGCTCCTGAGGCATACTCCACGGATCGCATTGAGCCCATCTCGCAACTCATTCCCCTCCCGTCCACGTCTTGCCAACACAGATTCCCAGCGACTCTGAGACATCGATAGAGCAGAAAACGCAGAAAGCGCGTGGAACGTGTATTTGTGTAGTGAGCGCTTGATGAGGGATGTCAGGGATGACAAGGTGTCTGTGAAGAGGGTTAGGAGAGGAGTAAGAAGGGTGTCATAAGTCGATGCAATGAGGGTGTTGCTAGACAGCGGGGCGAGTTCGGCGAGGAGAGTGTATTCGGTCTGTGTATTCGCGCTCTGTTGAGAATTTGCAAAATAGGGACGATAACTAGAAAAAACACCTCGGTGACCCTGAGCAAACTATCTATCCAGAGGCTGAACTCCTTCCCGGCAGCCACGCCATCTAAAGTCTCGGCTCGGTCTATAACTCGCCGTGAATGCATTTCGAGCGCTTTGCGACTCCAATTCCCGCGCATGTCTGCATACCCTCGCTGCGCATCTTTGAGCGTGTTTAAGATAGCCGAAGCAGCGAGGTGAGAGGGATGCGTTGATGGAAGGGGTAGAGTACGGAGGAAGGCGACCAGGGGTGTAAGGGAGGACATCAAGGAAGGGGGGAACTCAGTGAGCATGAATGCAAGACCTGAAACGGGTGGAGATCCTGAAGAGCCTTCTGCGACAAGCTTCGTATACAACTGGGAAAGCTTCTTCGCACCAGTCTCGAACAGTCGCGCCTTGGAAAGATGATTAGAGGCATGTAAAATGGCGACAAATGAATTTCAATCGTACCATATCCCTGGAATCTGCATCAGAAGATTTGAATGCAATGGCAGCATTGAGGCGTTCAAGAATATCAATGTAGGCATCAAGCTGACCAAGTTGCGGCCTATTCATGATTCAGTTATGTACCAAGCCTTGATCGAACTGTGACATACCCCCGTAAAATCAGGCCCTCTTCTACGGCAATGCCATCTTGACTACTAGCAACCTCGTCGATCTTTAGCAGAGCGCGGTCAATATCTGCGTATGACCAGATGAGTTTTTGTTTATGAATCGATCTGGACTACCAACTATGAGCCCGTTGTTTAAGCTTTTGTGTCGAGTTGTATAGTGGTAGGATAGACTTCTCAAGTTTCACGAGACGAGTGTCAAAATTCGTCAGGATAGCTGTCATAGTATATCATGAAGCGTAGTCAACAGTCAACTAGTCACGGTTGGACATGGCTGGAAATCACGCACAAGTCATCCGCTGTGAGATCTGGTGCGTTTTGTTAAGGTTCTGCTCTAGCTGCATCATAACAGAACGGTCAACATTTCGCGAATCCACCTGGAGGAAAAACATACGAGCTCGATCTCAGCACTATCATCATCCATAACGATCCTAAATTATGTGTCAAGCACGTAGCATGGGCAAAGATTCGCCAGCTTTAAGGTTGGCCCGGTCGATGTTAGTGGCCGAAAGCACATTGGTTATTATGTAATTTATTGCAACGTGTCAATCGAACAACTTTGAAATTTCAATGTTAACGTTAACCACCAAGGTCCACTGTGGCTGAACAACGCTGCGGCACTTACAACTGCATCTGAGGCTGTCAAGTAACTTAACATGCTCTGAGACAGTTGAATTGGCTGCCCGAGCTTTCTCAAAGATTCAAGCGTCCAGCTAGATTTTCAACATTAGGACCTGCTTTCCGCTTTGATGTAACTTCCCATCTGCCTTTTTAAATTCTCAGATGACATCGGTCAGTACTGCCCTGCATTGTTTGGAGTGATGTTCCACTAAATATTTGTAGGATCAGATTCTCAGACGGATTCCGATACCGACTAAGGCGTCCCAGTGGAACAGTGGGCGTCTTACTTCGTAGGCGGGCAGCGATTCCCGGAGCCACTCGACGTTCTACTCGAGAATTATTCAGGCACCTACATAGATCACTTTCCTCATCAAAGCCCTACTCAAAAGTGGAAATCATTCCAGCTAACGCATCATATTGACGGGATTATTGTAAATGGAGTACCTCTCTTGAGGTTGTTGTTGGTCTTGTACTCATCTCAGACGATGGAAAAACAGCCGCGATGCGAAATGTATGTCGCGATTCCTACTAAAATAGCTAGCAGAGGACGGTTGAAGATTGATCAGTTATCAGTGCTACTTCTTTCAAGGATGATATGTGGATCCTTATATATTGGACCCTGATGCTGCTTGTAATGCTGTTGCCATCGCACACAGCCCACCATGCCTCGTGTACGACCTATCGCCGCACTTCTAGCCGATTATCTTCTGAATGAATCTTCATTTGATCTTCAACGTTGCAACAGAAGCCTTTTATTGGGCGATTCAGAGCTTTCTGCACATTTGGTTACATTTGCCATAATTTTGTCACCAAATAACACACATGTGAATGGAATACGGAAGGTATGCTGCGGCCATGGCACTAGATAAAAGTGGGGTCCGGGGAGAAGTTCCGACACATCATCGTTATCAATCAGTTTTAACTATCAAAAATATGGGCATGACCCGAATAACACGCCATCCCAAGTATTACTTGCATGACGGTAGCGTATCAATTCATGCACGTCTTCCTTTTGTTTCATCGTGATGGTCCTAATACCTGCCGTCAAACAGGTCGCGGGCACCGTCTTTCGCGTACACAAGTACTTTTTTGAAAGAGAATCCGAATATTTCCGAAAGGGATTCAGAGCAGCTGGGCCACAGGAAGATGGTCAGTCCGACCAGGCAGCGTTTCGACTCGATGATGTCAAGATCAGTGAGTTCGAGCGACTGCTGTGGGTATTCTACAACCCGTGAGTCCTCTTTCCCCGCTCTTGTTCATCGGCGGACTGAGCGTTTGGAATCGAAGGCAATATATGTACGATGAACAACCCATAGACCACTGGATCACCATCCTTGACCTGGCTACACGATGGAATTTTCCAAGTGTGCGAGACCTGGCAGTCCGGCAGCTGCAAAAGCTCGACATGAAACCTGTCGAGCGAATTATCACCTATGATAAGTACAACCTCGACAAATCGCTCCTCTTGCCCGCCTACATTCTTCTGTGTAAACAATCGAGTCGCTCTGTTGACGATGGCAAGCGGCTCGGCATGCCCACCGTCCTCAAGATAAACGAGGCTCGTGAGTATGCACAGAGGTTTGCAGCCGAGCAAGGCTGCCCTAGTCCTACAAGCGCTGATGCTGAAGATCAAGAGCTTGTCGAGATTTTGAAGGACGTATTCGATCTGAGCTAATCACAGGCTGTTCAGATGTAGGATTAGGGGCTATTGGGGGACGCTACAGTAAAATAGAACTGCAACTATCCGGGGTTCGTCGATGCATCGCCGATGATAAGCAGTCTTGCACAACGTGTAGGTCATTAGAACAGCGCTCAGTGATCTACATTACGCTAAGGTTCGGCACGTGTTAGCACCGCTCATCCAGAAATTAGTCGAATGTCGTTGTAGGCTCTCACGCTTGCGCTTGACTCTTTCTCTCTTGCCACCATGAACATCGCTGGTCCCTCACGACCACGTCCGGTCCCTGGTACAAGAGATAGAGACAACTATGAGGAGGATCTTACCCGTATGATTGCGCAACTGGAACTCTCTGATGTAGAGAGACTGCAGACCTTATATGATAACAGAGTGCACCGAGGAGAGGGACTCACTGACCGCGAAGTTGCCTTCGCATTGTTGATGCAGAATGCTCGAGAACTTGCGGAGTTCAATGCTGATCGGGAATTTGCCCAGCGACTTGCTGTTGAAGAGCCTGATCCTGTGCCTACTAGGTAAGGCTATATATCACGGGACTCTCAAAGCTAAAACTGACTCGGATAAGCAGGCCAGCAACAGTAACACCCGCCTTGACTAGCTTGAGAAAGTACGTTTGCAAGTGTAACGTTCCTCTGCAGTATCTGATGAGAATTACAGCGCGACGCTAGTACAAACGCAAACATGGGGCCAATGGTTTGCCTCCTTGTTTTCGGCGCCTGTGTCGGATAGTCAGACACCAACACTGGCAAACCCAGCTCAAGCGCCCACCACTGCGGCTAGGCCAGCTCCTCGGTGAGACGCGTTACTACCTATTATGCTAACATACTGTTACTGAATCCATCATAACTACTAGTAGGGCTACTGGCCACGATTGCGTGATCTGTCAGGACCCCATCTTCGGAGTGGAAATTCGGGCACCATGCGGCCACTTTTATGATATCGGCTGCGTCACCGACCTATTCCAATCAGCAACTCGCGATGAGAGTTTGTACCCTCCTAGATGTTGTCGCCAGAACATTCCACTCCCACAAGTTCGGTCTCACTTGGCACAGACAGTCCTCGCTGAGTTTACCCTCAAAGCTGAAGAATTTGGGACCATGAAGCGCGTTTATTGTGTTTCACCAGCGTGCAGCCGTTTCCTCGGGCCATTGCATGAGGGGTTTTTCAGCAAGGTCTTTCGATGCACATCCCCTACGTGTATGACGTCTACATGTGGAAAATGTCGTGGTAGATACGAAGGGATCACCCATCTCTGCACTCCCGATGCAGAGATTGAGCAGGTTCTCACACTCAGCCGCGCCTCCGGGTGGGCACGCTGTCCAGGCTGCGCTCAGATGATCGAGCTCAACATGGGGTGTTTCCACATGACCTGCAGATGCAGGACAGAGTTTTGCTATTTGTGCAAAGCACTCTGGAAGAGCTGCAGGTGCCCGCAGTGGGACGAGGCCAGGCTGCTTGCTGCTGCAGAGCGTCGCGTGGATGCTCAACTACTGCCTGAGCGTCACGCACAGCCTGCTAATCCTGTCCGACAGGCACCTGCAGCACGCCAACCAGTGCCAGCTGCTGGCGCTGCCAGGAATCGGCCTATCGATCTGCCTAGACCGGGACCTGCGCTAGCGCCCAGACAAGCGCCAGTCGTCAATATTCCTCCGGTTCCTCCTCGACAAGTTCCTGTGGCAGCGCCCAGACCAGCACCAGTTGCCAATATCTTGCACACGACTCGTCGTCCTCAGGCACCTACCCCAGCACCTCCTCCTGTCTTACCCCGTACCACGACTCTTAATCGCGAGGAACCAGCACCAGCACTTCTTGCAGCACCCCCTTCCCAGACTCAGATAACTCGTCGTGCTGAAACGCGAGCATTCCTTTCAGCATGGTCCACACGAGTGCCACAGCCACAGCCCACGCCAACTACAACAACGCCGGGCTCGGATAGGAACACCGTCAGACAGCGTATGATCAGGGAGACCATGGAGCGTCTCAGAGTGGACCATGATTGTCACCACACAAGCTGGAAATTCCGGCGCGGTGGTGGACGTTGCGAGAGCTGCGAAGTGCATCTCCCACTATACCTCTTCGTAAGTCATTTGCATCACCTTTCTTACGCTGACACACCTAATATGACATCATTAGCGTTGTGCAGGGTGTCAGATGAACGCTTGTAACAGGTGTCGCCGAAACCGTCTGTGAAAATGACTGGACCCAAATTCTTGATGCTTTGCTGATCATCGACTCACAAGGGACTGTGTAAAAATTATACTTCAATCTTGGATCCGATTGTTTTCAGGCACTACAATGCGTTGTATACTTAGACTGGTACGACAGTCTTTCTTAGTCTGTGCTCTAAGAGAGATCTTGTACAATCATATATCGGCTGGTAGCCAAACTTAGATATTAGCGTAACATGAGCTGTTCAAGTTGGGCTTTGATCAAACATATCAGAAATGGCAGAGTACTGTGTCGGTAGTCATGATAGCAATGATATTACTTAACTGCCTCACTTCGTAACTAGACAGCTTAGTCTCTCTGACCACGCCCTCAGCTGAGAAAAGGTGTTCGAAGTACCGAGAAACAAGCCCGATACCAGTAGCTTATGCTATGATGCGTGAGCTCTACCCAACCTTCAGATGTAGTAACAGCGATGTCGTTCTAATCGTCATTGAATAAGTATCACTGGCGCTACAAGAGCAGTGCAAGAAAGCATGAGGATTGATAATATATATACGTGAGGACCCGTCGTTCTGGATGTAATTTCCTGGTCAAGCAAACATCTGAGGCGAAATACGGAAATTTTTGGGTAAGGAACTGTCCTTACACAAACCTTTCTTGATCGTCGCCGTTGCACGAAGTTTAAACTGAATATCGGACAAGTCAGTCTCCAGTTCTACACTGTGCCGATGGCTAGAGGAGACAGGGTTGCTGAGTGAAAGGCGGTGCCCTCAGAGATTTTGTATTGTGTATGCAGGCCACACATTTTGTGCAAATTTTGTACCAGGCGGTCAGCAAGCTCCTGCAGGTTAGGGTGTGACAAGAAGAGCAGTCAGAGCCGTAACCAATACATCGAGTGAGGGCTGGGGTATGGCAGGGATAGCAAATGAGGGTGCCTGACCAAGCGGGGGCCGTAGGTCTTGACGGTACTTGTCCACCAGCGCAATAACAGACCTTCATTGCGGTGCCTAGATGGAGACGAGGAAACAGGGGAGCTGTCAAGGGGAATCTGCTGAAGGGCGGCGGCTTGCAAAATGAGGAGCCGATGGGATAGATCTTCGTCAATGTTCCTCTCGAAGATGTTTGCCAGACACCGAAGCCGGCAAGATTGAATGAGGATCTGAAATCATATAGAGCATCCGCACACGTCGATGGTCTTATAGGCAATCAACTTCCGCGACTGAGACTGTCAGTGCACAAGGAAGAAAGCATAGAATGAATTCCACGTGTAACAACCGGACCGATGATCACCGGCACCCGTGACGCGTGACCTCTTATCGCTTCCCATGTCTTGATTCAAAGCCAACATCAACCCTCTTGTAACCAACTACCCTCGATGATCAGGCATGGTAAAACCTCCCCCTGAAGGACTTCCTTGCCTCTGGTTTGACTAACGGAACACTAGGCAACTTATGAGTGTTAATCTCTCGCAGAACACATAGATGGTGACGGAAATAACAATCATATGGCTTTGGGGAGAATTGTAGTAGTCGATGCTGCCAAGGATTGACCATTACAATTTTCCCCCAGACAGTAGAGCATAATCTCTCGTGCTACATTTTACCTGACTATCGGGTACTGTTCGGATGATATCGACGATGATGGTGTGAGTACCCCATGATCATCGATATCATCCAAAACTCTTACATGTACAGAAAACATGATTTACTGTCTAGTCGTTGGCACAACCAAATCATGTTTCACAGAGAAATTCAAAACATTCAAACATTCATTCACTGTCATTTCAAAGTTAATCCACACGGCCTTCCGCATTGCACGTCGCGGTCTTGGTGAATCGATTATCACCTCCTCGCTGCTCACTGTCATCAGTTTAGGCATACTGTTTGTCACTGCAGCTTGTGGAACAAGGCCACACCTACCAGCAACATGAAATCGGTGAACGCGATCGCCAGATCGCGAAGGTACGCATTTTCAGTAGCGTTAGTCTACTTTGATCAATGATAGTGCTTCCGGAACTTGAGATGCAAGCCGAACTCGATTTATTGAAGGCGCAAATTGCAGCCTCGAAGCACACAACAGAGTCGCCATCGCCGTCATTCTAACCTTGTCCACGCAACACCTCCATCTCCCACGTTTCTGTCTCTTCGCGAAGTGTTTTGAAATCACGTCTAGAATACCGACCATGGGAAGTATCATCGGATTCTTTTGGGTGATGGGTGGACTTGATGGCATGATTGTATACTGCACGTGTCACAGTTACTGGTACTTATGGTGCTGGGCTTATGGTCACCACCTCCTGATGTATAAGATACAGAAGCTCTGGCCAAATTCGCTCCTCATTTCTAGTTTCATTAAACTACCGAGCAGAGTATCACTTGTAATGTATACAACGTACAACTGTCATTGTGTTTCTGGTACAGTATAGTACTAACGTCGGGATTGTCACATCTCCGTAGGGCCTGAATGTCGGATAATACATGCAGGTACTCCTCTTGGTACGAGACAAAGACTGCCCCTGGAGGAGTTAAACGTTGAATAACCATCTTTATCAACTATATCAGTACTTGCTCGCACGGGTAGGTCAGAGTAGCCGTGTATTGCTGACAGAATCGTCTGAAGTGAGATCGGGTGCTGGGTTAAATTCTGGTTGACATTATGCCACAGACGAATGAATACTCGTTTAAATTGTGTGATAAGAATTACAGGCGATTTCCCGTCTCTGGACCATCGAATATACACCATCTTCTATAGAGTGCCGATAAAAATAAACTGTAGTATTGTCCCGTTCTTCTTTATAGGCGAGTCTGTTCAGCAGCCGAATAGCGGACATTAGCAACACAATGGATGTGATAGCCCTACGCGCCAATCAAGGCCAAACGCTTATCTTGATTTCTCTATTTTCAGTGTCGTCCACTCGTGCGACATCATCGTCCCGCCATACAATCCCACAACTCGGAAGACCCAGCAGCTCCGGAAGCATAACGCGAGTCTGTTACAAGCCACACAATTATGGTCAGCTAAGCATCGAATATGGCGACAAGGGGCTACCACGCAAGGTCAAGGGCATTTGCAAGCAAAACAGGGATAGATACGCACCTCTTTGATGAGCTTGCGAATTTTGGGATACCGCGCCTTCACCTCTCCAGTATCAAATGTGACCACTTGCTCGTCCACTCCATTCACTAATGTCAAATCATCAGAGTCGGCTAGTGGTAGAGGAGATACGCGACCGCTCTCTTGTGGTGGCTGAACAGCTGACGTGGACGCAGAGGGGGGAGCGTTGTTATCGGGGACGTAGTGTTCTTCGATCTGGAACGAATTTTCCATTTGTGCTACGGTGCGCTGTGGTAGTGGTGGTGGGAGGTACGTGATAACACGTCTCTTTGTCTGAGTACCAAGCTTCTTCTCTGTCCGCGTCACGTCTGTACTCCGGCCCTTCGAATTTCCGACAGCAATACCAGGAAGACGGAGACTGAACGGTCCTGATGACGATATGTGACCGGGCTTATAATTCTTACTCTTTTTCTTCACTGGTTTCGTGACCGTGCTCCAGTTAGCGTCAGGATCATCATCGAACGCGTACACAGAAGTTCGGTGATCACCGAGTGAAACTGACGAGGCCGCAATTTTACGTTTCGGCGTAGACTTTTTGGCACGTTGTGGCAGTGGAGATGGCGTTGGTGATTGGTATGGACGCTTCCTGGACTCTGGAGACATAAGATCGTTATGGTTTTGCTCCGGGCGTGAAACTCTTTCGATAAATTCTGCTTGAGCTAGTGGAGGGTTGAGGGAGCTGTGAATGGTGGAGGCCAGCCACTGCGGCATTGACGGAGGCTCTACTTCAACCATCGCAGGTGGCAATGCGCGGCAGGACCTCACCGCTGGAACCTGGGGAACGGGCAATGCAGACAACGCTTGAAAACGCTCTGCGGAGTTGCAGAAAACGTCCATCATATATTACGCAAGCGCACCGAGGTACTCACGATTACCAGTAAGATGTATGCCACGGCGAAATTGTGAGGAGGATTGGTTACACGGAAGCATTCTCGGAGAAGTATTGATATTTCTATGGAAAGGTCTTGGCGGGGAAGATTGATAACCTCCTGGTCGAAAGTGTGAAACATTCACTGGATGGTCACGGCTGGTGAGTGGAGATGACATAGACATGAATCGCACGTCATATCGTGATTGTGGCAACAGACTCATATCGGGGGTGGATATATGCGCTTCGCTTCGTTGCAAGAGTGCCTCGTGACTCATTTGAATGTTGCCGCGCTCGCTATCTGTAGTGCAGGGTAGAATTGGGACACCCGGATGAGGTTGGACTCGCTGATCGTGGAAGTCCCCCTGGGGAGCGTTGGACGACAAGGTAGCGGGCATGTCCGAAGGTCTGGTTTGGAACCCACTGGCAAGAAACGATGCATTATCGTGCTGCGAGTAGTTCCCTGGTTCAGGGCTACTCATTCTCCGTATTTGTGAACAAGCTTGGTGCTCCCGAGAGACTTGAGGCATATTCGACTTGGGCTTTGTAACCTTGGGTGCCTTCAAAGGAGGGGGTACGCGACGCGGCTTGCGCTCTGCCTGAACTTTGAATGCATCCACAATTCGACCCCGTGGTGCCCGTGGCTGTGATTTTTGTCGTATGTCCTCTGAGATCGCCTGCTTGGGGGGTTCCTTATTCGGGGGACGACTGACAGCATTGATACGCGCAATACTCCATGGGTTGGGCTTGTACTCCACAGTCTCGTGCCGCAAAGAGATATCGAGCTCTTGAATGAGTCTAGTGTCGTCGGAAGGAATATTGACTTGAGAGTTAATTTCGGGCTCGGATTCAGAGTCAGATCCAGAGTCGAATGCATAATGAGCTCGAGTACGGTGGTTAAATGACCACGGATTCTGTTTGTTCTTTGATTCTGATGGATTCATGTGAGCAATAACCGGAGGTCCATAAGTTATAATGTCGGAGCACCGGTAGCTATAGGTGGTCTGGGCGAAAGCAAAATAAAGTGTAGGTGGTTGTTTGGCAACACCCTCTGACCCAAACAACGTTTACTACCCGAAATGTCATGCCCTGAACCACTGATCCAGTCAATCTGCGCGCTCGAGCCGGTCACATAATGGTCTGCTCCCTCTTCCTTCCTTCCATTTCGCTGACCAACCTGCATATAGGCAGTACAAGGCATAACAGCGACGACGGGCACAAACATCACAGGTGCTACTCACAATTCTACGCCTAGTATCATGCCGCCAGAGCTCGAGCAGACGCTCGCTCTTCTATCATCACACCGTTCTGTCCTCGGATACCTTTTGCTCTCGCGTGGAGACCATGTTAGTATCATACGTCATTCAGGCGTCATTTTTGAGGGAGAACAAGGGAAGAAGTACGCGAGCGTCATAGGCAAGATGGTTGAGAGCGTGCAAGCAGGCTTGGAGGAAGTGAGTATGTCGGAAAATGATGGAGTGCGTAGCAACTATGTTCATATCTTATGCTTTGCTCATACGTTGTTATAGGATCAGATTCGCTTCATGAGAATACGGACCAAACGCCATGAAATCATGATTTCGCCTGGTCGGTGGGTATCTGCGTTTGACGGATAACTATATTAATTATTCATTTACAGATGAAAGATATCTCCTCGCGGTGCTGCATGACCCCGCTTCGTGAATTTACCCTCGCCTATCATATTCTCTTATATCTTTGTGTTTATCTTACTACTGTATCGGTAGGATCTCTTGGTAATGCAGGCTTGTGAAACCGATATAATCATTCTTAACTCAGTGCATTGCGGTGATGGTGGTAACACAAAGAGCTACATATTTTGGCTGACATCTCTCCTTTGACGCTGTAGGTTGACTGCGATCAGGATTTTGCAAGAGATTGATGTATGGGTGTCGATACGAGCGAGGGACGCGTCGACAGCGTCGAAGATTGCAGTGCGAGACAGGCCAGATTGATTGACGTACTTGGGCAGCTTATTCAGACCGAGCATAAGGTACGTGTAGATGGAAGGATTATTTGCGACAAGGCCATTGCACTTGGTGGCCTTTGTACACAGCACATGCTGAGCTTGGGCTGACCATACACGCAACTAGTCAGTTTTCAAAATCTCTGGGTTATCATAAGCTAACCCTCCGAATGCCAGCCCCACAAGCATCCAGAGGCGTCACCTGTCATCCAGCAACCCTGAGGCGACGTTCTACGAGTCCAAGATGAGCGGGGCTTGCCCTGCGAAGTCTGCTCGATGGCCTGCACAGTAAGCTCTCCCTGATCGCTTTTTAGATACACGAGGTAGCATTCTCGAGTAAATGATCTCCAAAGGCAGCTACGAAAACGACTGGCTGATCTATCAAAGTGAGTTCAAGTCGAAAGCATTTGCGGTCTGACGACACTAATTCTTTAGCAAGGGACATGCTGCTACTATACAGGTTAAAATTCGAACACAAAGCACCCACAAGACGTTCATGATGGAATGGGCACGGACTGCGAGGGAAATCCAAGGCCAAACCTCTATAGGGAGGCTACGGCTCTAGGACTACGAGCCTGGACTGCTGCTACTGTGCCAGACCACCCTGGTACAATGACCGAGCGGCTGAGACAAGCAGCAAAAGCAAAAGAGAAAATGCGGATCGCGTCAACATCGAGCGTCCACATACTGAACCTGTGCTACGCCGATCTGGTACTCTGACAACGGATTGTCTGGTCTAGTGGGGTTGTACGTACGGCCCTCTCTATCGTTCCGACACCGGAAAACGGGAGAAGGCATCTGGATCATCACGGCGACCATTGCGGCTTTTGGGAGATTCTGAATGGGCGAAGAAGACTTGGAATCATGGGGAGATGGCCGTGTGAAGGTATCAGCAGATACCGCGGATTCAGATTTGCCAACTCCAAGAGCGGCAACCTGAGAGCTGACAGGCAAAGATGCAGATACAGGCTATGATCGAATATTATCATACAAGTGACAGAACCTGAATTCAACACACCTGAATACTTGACCATTCAGACTGATCCACACTCCTGTCTTCCTCAGTTCGGGGAGGTCTCATCCAAGTCCCACAAAACACTAGAGGGATTAACATTCCACCTCCTCCGTGTACCCCGTCATCCTCCATAGATTCTAGCTGCACATTCAAAACTCTACCGAAGAGCGCACTGCGTATAGCACGAGGTACACCCCTCACACATGAAACAACACAGCTGAGCGCACTGCGTATAGCACGAAGTACACCCCTCACACATGAAACAACACAGATGAGCATAACCCACAAAATTGCTGCCCAGCACGGGAAAGTGCCCACTATAATTATCAGACCCATCCCGCAAATGAGGGTCCAGGTTGGACAGGTAATATTAATATTATCGTCTGTGGGAGCGGGAGTGGGGGTGGGGGTGAAGAATGACATTGGGATGACTACTCCTAAAACAAACTGCTATCTTGAAAAAAGGTAATCTTCACTTGATGATCTCGTGCGTAGACACCCAAATTTCAAAGAGGGGCTTCAGACACATTGAAATAGTACTTCCAATCAACCGACGAAGACGATCTAAGTATATGTCGATACGTCAACACAAAGGGCACACCAACGAATCAAAGTTCAATTCATGACCTGAGCAGGATCTGAATCATTGAAGCCCTGGGAGTCCTCCCTCATTCGACGTTCAGGCAGCAGTCAGTGAGCGGAAAATAACTTTTAAATAAGAATTGTTGTTCACGTGATGTAACTTTATCACACTAGCAGTTTCAACTTTCTACTCGACATCCACTCACGTCCTACATTCGCTAATTAATTTGTTCTTGTAAAGTGTTCGAACGAATCAACGAAGGTCACGGTATACTCAAGGGTACAATTGTCTTACGCTGTGCCCATACCCTCCAAATTCGTCAGCATAGAACTCCAGTGCTTCTGAAACCGATATGATCATCATTCTCCACTCAATGCATTGCGTTTAAGTCGATGGTGGTACTAATATAAAGTGCTACAGGTATCTCTCCTTGGGCATTGTAGGCTGTGATCACCTAAGTGTGGCCACGAGTGGCCTTGGGCTCATACCTGTAAAGTTGATCGTCAGTCTCTAGTTGAATAACCAAGCGAGCAGAATACGCACGGCTCCTCCAGGTACTTTATCTCCTCCGGGGTAAGCTCAATTCCTTCGATGTTACTCTCCTGCAGCCTCTGTACAGAGCTGATACCCACGATAGGGCTCGACACCTTTGATGCAACCCAGGCCAGCGCAATCTGGCTCATCTTGTAATTTTTCTTTTTTGAAAGCTCTTCGACACGGTTAATGATAGTCGCATCTGCACTGGACACTTTTTTCTCCCAAGCGGTTCCCTTGAGAGAATTCAGACGCGTCGTCTCTGTGCCAATGGGACGTGCGAGGAGACCAGCAGATAGAGGAGCCCAGGGTATGACACCGATTCCATTGAATTTGCAATACGCGAGCATTTCGCGTTCCTGAATGTGATGTCAAACTGAAGAGCATACTTTGTGATTTTTAGGAACACACCTCCTCGCGGTAGAGCAGCGAGTACTCATCCTGCATGCTGACAAACGTGGTCCAGCCATTACGAGCGGCCACGTCGTTCAACATGGCAAACTGCCAGCAGCGCATGGAACTAGCACCAATGTATCGAACTTTACCGCTCTGCACGAGGTCGTGGAGCGCTTTCATGGTTTCCTGAGGGGTGACTGAAGGGTCAAAGCGGTGGATCTGCAAGAGATCGATGTATGGGGTATCGAGACGAGCGAGGGACGCATCGACAGCGTTAAAGATTGCAGCGCGAGACAGGCCAGACTGGTTAACGTATTCGGGCAGCTTATCGAGACCGGGTCTGGCGAACCCCTGTATTGAAGGATCATCGATGACAAGGCCATTGCACTTGGTTGCGATTATGATCTGGGGGCGAGGAATGTTGTACTATGGAATCTATGCATCAATGAATGTAGATTTAGGGCATCAGTAAGGCACACCTTTTTGATGAACTTGGCGATGACACGCTCTGACTCGCCGTTTGAGTAAATGTTGGCGGTGTCGATGGTATTGATACCAAGGTCCCAAGCAGCCTTCATTATTTCGATAGAGGGCTCCTCGTCAAGGACCCAGGGCTGTAAGAAGTTGAGGATCTGGTGAATCGAACAGGGGACAATCACATACAGCCCATTTTGAAGTACCGAAGCTCATCGCACCAAGCTATGAAGAATATTAATGAATGGCGAGTGCTGTGGGTTACAAGCGTTTTATAGCTCACAATTGGGACAGAGACTTTGAGACCGGACTTTCCAAGGGAGCAGTACTGAACTTTAGACATTGCGTTGATGATGGAGATGGGTTTGCTAGAAGTTCAAGCTAATGATCCCCTGTATTTAAAGAGGGTCTCCATTATTGCTAGCATAATGCATGACTCAGTTTATATATGCTTACGGGTGCTCGATGACATGTATATATAATGCATCTTCTAATTAAGCACGAGTTGGAGTCGACTCGGTGTCAATTGTGTCCACCCGTCATGCTGTGCAGCACTGACGCACGCTCTCAGGTTTGCTTTTCATCCTTTTCCTCCAGCACTATGGCGACCAGCTGTACTTTTCACGAATTGATGGGCATTCAAAATGCTTCTGGATACCAATACGACAATAAAAATTACTGGAAATACGACGGCGTTACTCTTGACTTATCGGTTGCCATTTTTACTTTTGGAGCTAATAGTAATACAGCATAAAACCCAACGACCGGTTATCGATTCATCGCTTGTAGGTAGGTTGAGGCGCCATCGGGACTCCTAAACACAGCTAACGGTTCTTGGTGTTTTTTTGTTCGCACGGTCCTTTGTCTCTGTTCTTGTCAAGTGTTCGAATGAATCAACGAAGGTCACGGTGTACTCAAGGGTACAATTGTCTTACGCTGTGCCCATACCCTCAAATCCATCAGCATAGTAGAACTCCGCTGCTTCTGAAACCGGTATGATCATTCTCCACTCAGTCCATTGCGTTTAAGTCGATGGTGGTACTAATACAAAGTGCTACAGGTATCTCTCCTTGGGCGTTGTGGGCTGTGATCACCTAAGTGTGGCCACGAGTGGCCTTGGGCTCATACCTGTAAAGTTGATCGTCAGTCTCTAGTTGAATAACCAAGCGAGCAGAATACGCACGGCTCCTCCAGGTACTTTATCTCCTCCGGGGTGAGCTCAATTCCTTCGATGTTACTCTCCTGCAGCCTCTGTACAGAGCTGATACCCACGATAGGGCTCGACACCGTTGATGCAACCCAGGCCAGCGCAATCTGGCTCATCTTGTAATTTTTCTTTTTTGAAAGCTCTTCGACACGGTTAATGATAGTCGCATCTGCACTGGACACCTTTTTCTCCCAAGCGGTTCCCTTGACAGAAATCAGACGTGTCGTCTCTGTGCCAACGGGACGTGCGAGGATACCAGCAGATAGAGGAGCCCAGGGTATGACACCGATACCGTTGAATTTGCAATAAGCGAGCATTTCGCGTTCCTGAATGTGATGTCAAACTGAAGAGTAGACTTTGTAATTTTGAGGGACACACCTCCTCGCGGTAGAGCAGCGAGTACTCATCCTGCATGCTGACAAACGTCGTCCAACCATTGCGAGCGGCCACGTCGTTCAACATGGCAAACTGCCAGCAGCGCATTGAACTAGCACCAATGTATCGGACTTTACCGCTCTGCACGAGGTCGTGGAGCGCTTTCATGGTTTCCTGAGGGGTGACTGAAGGGTCGAAGCGGTGGATCTGCAAGAGATCGATGTATGGGGTATCGAGACGAGCGAGGGACGCATCGACAGCGTTAAAGATTGCAGCGCGAGACAGGCCAGACTGGTTAACGTATTCGGGCAGCGCATCGAGATCGGGTCTGCCGAACCCATGTATTGAAGGATCATTGATGACAAGGCCCTGGCACTTGGTTGCGATTATGATCTGGGGGCGAGGAATGTTGTACTATGGAATCTATGCATCAATGAATGTATATTTAGGACATCGGTAAGGCACACCTTTTTGATGAACTTGGCGATGACACGCTCTGACTCGCCGTTTGAGTAAATGTTGGCGGTGTCGATGGTATTGATACCAAGGTCCCAAGCAGCCTTCATTATTTCGATAGAGGGCTCCTCGTCGAGGACCCAGGGCTGTAAGAAGTTGAGGATCTGGTGAATCGAACAGGAGATAATCACATACAGCCCATTTTGAAGTACCGAAGCTCATCGCACCAAGCTATGAAGAATATTTGAATATTAATGAATGGCGGCGAGTTATCAACAAGCGTTTGATAGCTCACAATTGGGACAGAGACCTTGAGGCCAGACTTTCCAAGGGAGCGGTACTGAACTTTAGACATTGCGTTGATGATCTCGGAGATGGGTTTGCTAGAAGTTCAAGTTGATCATCGATCCCCTGTAAGAGGGTCTCCATTATTGGCATAGATTGATGCATGACTCAGCTTATATATGCTTACGGGTGCTCGATGAGTCGACGATGACATGGATATACATATAATGGGAGTTCCACGGCGTCGGCAGATTAGCACACATTTTTCGGCAAAAACCGAAGGTTGCAACCCAAAGCTTCAACGTTGGCTGCGAACACATGGAGGTGCCGCATCTTTCATATTATGTTTGATGCGCGAATGCAAACTCTTGTTTTATTGATTCATCGTGCCTAGTGTCGTGTGCGTCTTCAGCGTCCTGCCGCAAAACGGTCAGTTCTTCCTCTGGACTATGGGCATAACCAGCAGTGCTTTACTGAACAGTGAACACAGCCGGTGACCAACGTACTTCAGCAAACAAGTCACCGTGCGCCTGCAACCACAGCGAAATGGCCCTGCTGGGTCACGCAGTTACCTATCCCATCACTACACTTTCCTCGCCCCCGACTGTCTATTCGGTGGGTCGATCGAGCTGTGATTCGCGATTCGCTGTTACAAACCGTTTGTTTGCAAAGCACCGCGATCATTTTGCACTTATAACAACAACACATCCCACATCCATCAAAGCACCTTCGAACTTCGACCCCCTCGTTTTCGTTTCTCTGTCGAAAGCCCTAATTCGTTGCCGTAATTTGGTGTTGCTACAGGTAACTATATCATAACGTGCCTGTCCGTCGAGCTTCACGCGCAGGTCGATTCTCGTCTTCCATGACCGATGAGAGTGAGGCAACAAGAGAGTGTGCATTGCTTGCGGTAAGCACTCAATCCTATTACAGCAGTAGGCTTGGTTCATTTTTTGACTCCGCAAACTAAATGCCGACAGTAGCGCCACGGGCTTTGATTAAAATTTAGACAAGTTTCAACACTAGTTGCGAACGCATGGAGACCCCACCTCTTGTGTATTATGCTTGGTGCGTGAATGCAAACACTGCTTGACGATATTACTCATTCATCGCCGTGCTTTGGTGTTGTCACAGGTACTAAGTATATCATAGATTCATGTATCCAATACTCGATGCCACTGATCTGCCCCAACACAGGATGAACCTACACTGGAATTCCGGAGCCAAGACAGCCACTGCAACAGTCGAGCTTCTCGAACGACAGAATATCAACACCGAAACCCATGAGAAACCATTTGAAGCGCTCGGAGAACCACAAAAAGGGCAAATATATTACGGTGCAGCAACATTTTTATGGCAACTCTTCTAGGTCATGGCGATTGCATCATCCAGGCTGAGGCTTTCCATGCGATGATGGAGAATGGAATGGTTACCGTGCGCTTCATCGCGTGAAGATGTGGTTAGGGTTATAGCACGGGTATGGGCCACACCGCGGGTATGGGGGTCACAGGTATGGCGGGTACGCGTACGGTGTCGGGATGTGGTACCCGTGGTCACACCGCACCCGTTAGTACGGTATACGAGGCGACATGTGACTGTTTTGGATTTGTATCTTTGGCATCCTGTGAAGGTGGAATAATTCTAAAGCGACGATGTGTCTGTACGATGGCTATGCATGTGCAAGCATCCGATCACGATACGACTTTCGTAGCCTGCCAATGAATTTGCTGAGCTTCATGAAGGTCAGACAGTGGCGTCCTTGGTTTATCTGATGGATTTCGCTTTTAGCTTGCAACCTTTACCGACTCCTGCTCAAGTCGGCACAATAAAACATCCTGAAATACAATGGCTGTACAATCAGAAATCGGGCTTTTTTACCTGTCACAGGCTTCTCGTCTCCCATGTGCGATTTCTCTTTCGACCTAGTATGCATGGCGTCTTATATTCAACAGGTATCAATCACACAGCATGAGTAACAATGTATCCGCCAGTGCAATGAATCACCGTCGCATCAAGCGCACGATCGGATGCACCGAATAGACTGCGCTGTTGTGTTTCTTCTCTGACTTTTGCCATACCACAGAATGCGACCTTGTTAGAGAAAGCAATCAGGGGAGCTAATAGCAAGTCTCGAGCTTGGCCAGCGAGGCTAAGAGAACACAGATAGGTTCATTGGGATCACATCATCGTTCGATCGATGGATACATGGTTTCATACGGAACACCTCGAAAATGGCATTGGAAATAAGTTTGCGGTATCACTGACCACTGGAATTTTTCTAGTGTGCGAGTAGTCGCGTGCGTAATACTGGTTTATAAATCAAATTCTACTACTTTGATTATCCAGGGCTTCTTTTTGTTTTATTTTTAACCGTTTCACCGGATCAAGGGTTTTGAAGCAGGATCAAATATACATCTCCATTATGCTGAACGGTGGTATATCTAACACGAACGCTGTAGTTATATACCACTAACCTTCCCCACTCGCTCACACCCATCCCTTGAACATGACCTACGTCTCAAATGATCCCAGTTGGTGGCCGTTAATCAATTTCGATATTTTTGTCAGTTATTGGGGAGGTTTGTCACATCAAAATGTCTGCATTTAACGTTGACTTGTGGTTGTGCAGTTGCCGCAGGCGTCGTGGTGGTATACGATTGGGGTGAGCAGGACAGTGTTCGAAGATCGCTGATATTCTCATGATATTTCCAGTGTCAACACTCGGACAAGAGGTGCGTCGATGTTATCGCCGGAGCAACTATCTCACTAATAATGCTATCATAGATTGAACTCATCTGGGTGAGTGACAAGAGTCCCATATCAGAAGAAACCAAGAGCATGAAATGAATTCGCGACAGAGACAACGCTGGTCTCTCATGACCGTGCTGTATTTGATTGTTCGTACTTGTGTTGTGCTCTAGTGTGGTGGGCAACTTGTGCTGACTCCAAAATGTTCTAGATACGCTATATTGGAATCCCGTTTTCTGCGTATGTCTCGAGATCGACAACTTTGCACTGTACTAATAGCACATCTCTGACAACTAGTCTCAATCTTCTGGGCATGTCTCATATGCGCCGTGTTCCATTTTTCTGACCGGGAGACACAGGATCTTTGCCATCGGTATCGCTGACAGGTGCAGTAAGTATTGTGCAACCATCTCATTCCCATCCAATCAATACGCTCATATGTAGGGGTGAGTGAGATTCCAACCATTGAACTTGGCTCAACATAATGACTCAATATTAGGTGTAAGTCGGAGTCTTTGATACTAGTGCGAGGGCGTTCACCAATTGCGAGTTTTAGGCACTATCACGTACTACGCATACGGCGGGACAATTGTGGCCTTGTCTGCCATGTTGGGCAGTAAGTGACCCAGGTGCAATACCTCTGTGATATTGACCTGCCAACTGACACACGATGCAAGTCATCGTGATTGCTCGCTTGCATGCCATGTATCAGGGATCTAGAAAGATGCTTATGTTCCTCGTTATTATCTTCCTGGCTGTAAACATCGCCTGCGGAGTAATGGTAGCAATACCACATCATATAGCAGGTAAGCTTTACTTGTCGACTTGAAGAACATGGCTCATTGGACAAACACCAGAGGAGTTCATACTTTCTGGCACGTATATGTGCTATTATGTATATGGCGGGAACGACCAGCTTCTGTATTCAATGGTTTGGATGCTCAACACAGTTTGGGAGGTCCTCACGCTGTGCCTTTCAGCCTGGGTTACTGTAAAACACTTCCGTGAGCTGCGACGACTCGGCCCATCGACGGGATCGACCATCGGGGACTATTTCGGAGTGCTGATACAGTCTCACGTTCTCTATTTTGCAAGGTGAGCTTGTAATGTGAACGCGGTTATGTTGCTCAAGTTCCGCATATGTTAGCTTTGCCGGTGTCTCTTGCATCCAGCTTACTGCTTTCTCTACAGGAATCTTGGTGTGCTGACCTGTTGCTGTTATCTGCATGCAACCAGTGCTCATCATTTCTGTAGAATTCAACTTCTATTGGAGCTCTCACACTCGATGCTGCTCTTCAAATTTTATTGGTCGTACAATTGTTTGTGCTGGGACCACGCCTCATCCTGAGCGTTCGAGAATACCATAGCAAACTCGTGGCATACTCCGACGCAGAAACTGGCCTGAATTCGATTGTTTTCCAGGAGCGTGTACATGTAACCACTAGCAGTACTGTGTAGGGACATGCTTGCCGAGTAGCCTGCAGGGAGGGAGGATTCGTTGTGATATTTATTTGACATATAGTATATTTGAAAGGTCTAGGCAAAGCTATTTCTTGTTGTCTCACTACTAGAACGAAGCACCCGCGCTTGAACCAAGTAGTAAGGTGAAATTATCTGGAATGACTAGCAACCAACCTGGTCCTTGAAGCTTGATGGCCGATATTAAAATACAATGAGAATCAATGAAAGCGCCTTGACAGCTGATTCTACGTGTTGTCGGTCTACTGTCTGGATATATAGATATTGCGAATCGTGAAGTCAGATAGCTGATAACTGATCGGTGCTCAGATGCGATTTCCTCCATGCGATGGGCCATGGAGAATGAAATGAATGAATCGTGTACACTCATGGCTTGAGTGTACGTCTCTCTCGCGAATGAGCATGACAAGGATATGGAGTCTGCTGAGTGATGAGTGGAGAATAAGAAAATCGGAGGTTCAGGTCAGAGGACGTCAAGCGTACCTATCAAACTACTGATGAGGCATCGACTGCGATATTCTGTTGGAGCGCTCGCTAAGCGCGACTATCAGAGTAAAGTGCATCACGAGATACAGACGTGGGTGGCGACCAGCTGTACATTTCACGGATTAGTTGGCATTCAAAATGCTTCTGCCAGATATCAATACGACAATAAAGGTCATCGCTTGTAGGTAATACTCTCGGATTGCTTACGCCGGATATGTGAGCTCGGATCATGCTGCATTATACAACTCCCTAACATGGACTTGCTGAGTCCCTCAGTTCGTAACCTGGACTGACGGTACTAATCGCTCGTTTTCTGCTCGCCCGCGTATACACTAACATGCGCCTTCAAGTCTGATTATTACTCTGTCTAGGTACATTAGTGATATGGAGTATATTATCTGATCTCACCTAAGACAGCGTTCCATATTTACCTGAGAGAGGGCGTCCACACTTTGATGAGGCCGCAGGAAATCAAATACTCAAGTCCCGCTACAGCAGTATTGTGGTGTCAGTGGTGATGAGGTGACAGGTTGAGGCCGCCATCCGAGTCGAGACTCCTAAACACGGCTATTTTTTGTTCGCACGCTCCTTCGTCTCTACTTATGATATTGACTTTAGTCGTCGACTATGGGAGCGCCGGGTCTATTCTTATGTGGGAGTCACAGTATCATGCCTGGGGCAAATCAAGCCAACCTGCCAGGACAGGCGCCCACTAGTGTCGTACTCTCTGGTCATCACCACTACGCATCGCAATGACAGGTTCTAAGAAGAAGAACAAGGGAAGGGGCAAGGGGAATGGCAGGAAGAAGATACCCAATGTCTCATCCAGTCAGTCAAAGGATATAGGCCCAATCTCTTGTTCAACCTTGGAGGAGGACGAAACGACGCGTTGCGACCAGCCACCGACAGAAGGCTTCGAGCGCTGTGAGGTTCACCAAGCCCAGTACCGTACAATGTATAAGAAGTACAAGGATGCTTCCAAGGTTGTTGACGACATCGAATCTGGGACCCTGGAGCTCCCGACGAAGGAGCAAATTGAATGTTACACTGATTTGCATTTGACACTCAATAAGGCCCGTTTGGTGCGCAAATATCTCGAGAGCATTCGAGTGGAGAGGACTGGCAGGGGTATACACCAAAGACGCTTCTTCTTGAAAAGTGAGCCCTTTAAGTTCTCCCGCTCTATTCACCAACACGACTGTGCGCCTACAGTCGATGATGGACACAAGGATCGTTTGAAGTTTCTCGAGAAAAAAATGAGGAAAGCAGCTGATATCCTCAGCAATCTTCAAGCCCGGGCGTTGGATCTCCACATTGCCAATAATCCTGGTTCCGAGTGGATAAAACCGGTTCAACTACCAAACGACTTGGATGATGAACCAATCTCCACGGAGAGAATCATTGAAGCAGCTCAACGAACCTTTCTCAATGATCGAAAGAACTCTACATATCTGTTTCCCGCTAGTAAAAAGTCTATGGGATCCTCTGCGTTAGCGGATGAGGACCTAATTGATCTTGAGCACCGAGCGTAAGTCTCGCCAAATTTAGGCCATGGGCTTGGATGTGATGACATTGATGACGACTCTTTTTTTTCAGACGAAAAACTCAGATACTGCATACCATTTTCGAAATGATCACGGACCCTGATCTTTTCACACGCCTTCGTCGTGAAGCAGATCCAGACGACTCTGATCCGACTTTTGAGCCTGACCCAACTGTCCTACATAACATTTTCCAACAATATGCACGACGGATCATGTTTCACGATTCAGACTTTTTCTTCAAAACCTTCGACAAGGTCTCCTTCCAGGATCTCATGCTGGACGATGACTTCTCGATCGAGGATGCATTCAAATTCGTGTTCCTGTTCGAAAGAAATAAATTAGGTTTTGGATTGACGTGGTTCAAAGATGCAGTGGTTGATGCCCTTATGATGTCGAAGGGGGGTGACGTCGCTAATTTTGGTAGTCTGAGTAAGTGGCGTGCTTATTCAAGTTGCACAACCCACCGTCTCATGTTGTTCAGGTAGCCGGCACAAGGTGCTTGGGGGATGGATATACAGCCGTACCCACATACGCACCATCTCCCATGAAGCTTGGTGGGCAAGTATCTTCGATCTTCCTGTGTACTGGTGCTGACGATACGTGATTAATCAGTATCTGTTGGAGATTTTGCAGCCACCCGCCGATGTGGAGAACCGGTTTGTCCGTTTATGCAATAACTTCGATGACATGGTCAATTTTCTGTCTTTTGGAGCGATTGGCATGTTACCACCTCCGACATTTTGTAGCAGACGGTACGATGGGGTTGATGCGATTGTACCCAGGAAACATCTTTCCCTCTCTGGGGTGGTTATCACTGACATGGTGTCAGGCCTGATGCCCCCGCACATGACTGGTCCTATACCAACCACGCGTCGAGGCAGGAGGCCGGGATGTATCGTCTGGTGCGAGGTAGAGGCGAGGGGATATATGTTTGGCGCCCTCAGAAACGAGCCCGATCCATTTAATGATGCTTTTCTACGAGAACTTCGCGCGCGACCCGACCTCTTCCAGGTAGTAACACGTTCTGAGACGGACCCCGGGCGCGACGTCGAAGTTTTCCCCACAGACGTCTTACCAATGATGCGAACTCGGGAATTTGAAGCTCCCCCAGCGCTCTCTGCAAATCGGCCAACAGGCTCTGGCAAGTGGACGGTCTCAAGATCTGCGGTCGATGTACTGTATGGCACTCATTGTGAGATGCCAGGCATACGAAATTACCCATTCCTCGGATATCTTCAAATACTGAAAAGCGGAAAAAATAAAGGCTGGTTCTTCCGCTTCAAGAACTTCCCAGTGAAGTACATCGTGATCCTGGACACCGTTCCGAACCGGCATCATTCAGTCTTGGCCATGAATGTCGCATGGGCAGCACTTCGTGCGCAGGGGTATGGTGAAGGCGAATATGAGTTATTGAAGTATACAAGAGCTTCCGGCAAGCTTTTTCAGAAGCGAGCAGAAGAGCTTCTCGCATGGACGCCAAATAACTGGCGTTGGCAGGATAATAAAACTGTGGATGATGTTGGCGAAAGTACAGATAGACCAGGAGTGATGGATGAAGGTGAAGGGGCAGGAGCGCAAGCATTTCGCCGTGGTATTGTATTGAAATGTGCCGATGGAGAGTTATACAGGGTATTTCCAATCGTCATCATGTACTCAGCCGATTATCCTGAACGGTGCGTTCTATATTTCAAGATGGGTGATTTACTCAACGAGATTCAGGGTTTCAATAATTACCGCCACCAAGAACATGGGGAGTGGGAAAGGCGAAGGAACGGGCGATCAAAGTGGAGGTGAAGTATCGGAAGACGACGAAGGTGACAGTGAGAGTGAGAGTGAGGGAGCAGCAGGGGGTGATGAAACCGAAGATGAAGGAACGAGAGGGGATGGTCAAGGTATAGGTGTAGGAGGTGGAGGGAATGTAAATGAAACGAAGCGAGGTGAAGGAGAGGGGAACGAATTGGAAAGTACACAAGAAGGAAAACAAAGTGAAAAGGGATGGGGATGCATTGTGAGCTAACTTCGGTTAACCTGCTGCTATGTTCTGTCGTGTCACTGCGCTGCCTATACCACGTACAACAAGTACTGGTATGGTGTATTCTATCCTATACATGCACGAATGTTGTACGTCAGTCGAACATCAATCATTGCCTAGTTTTGTCGTATCGTTCTATTCTCTGTTAACAGGCCTGGGTCTGTTGTAGCATTACATAATTGTTGTCACCACAGTTCTTCGGAATTCGTCCAATGCAGCTGGGATGTCGCCAGCTTCGACAGCTCTGGTCGCATCTAAGAGTGGGATTAATGAACAGTCACGGTGGGACCGGGTGGGTTGCCGCCAAAACACAAGGAGAATTCACCCACCAATTGCATGCAGCACGTGGGCGCAGATTTTTGCATCTTCAACATGAGCAATACTAAGCTTCAGAATTAGTACACCTGAATAGTGAATTGACAGTGCAAGTATTCACCACACGAGCTCGAACTCAAGTGTTGAACGTACTAACTTGAAGCTGGTGGGGTTCGAGGCTTTAGTCCGTGCACCAACTTCCCTGCATTGTGTGCGGTGTTCTCGTTAATGAGATCCGTAACAGCCTTGCCTTCATTGATTCTATATGTTGCTACCATGGGGATCTGGGGGAGTTCAACGTTCGTGTTCCCTGAACTCCCCCAGATTCCAGCAGAGCGAACATCGACGGTTGCAGCCATTTCAAATGAACAAGAGGCGTGTGGTTACATAAACCTGTAAAGTCAGGGACAGAGTGCGCAGGTGCTCTTTAAAAAGTCGTTCTAACACCGGGGACATTGGCATTAAACCAGATTAGTAGAGAGAAAATAAACACGTAGGACAACTAACTTCGCAACCTCCAACAAAAACGTCATCGACGTACTCCTCGCCCGCTGTCTCCCCAGCGCCGTACATGAGCATGAGCGACTGGCCAGAATATTTTGCATACGAGGATGCAGCAGGGTCGTGTTGTGCATGCCCAACACAGTTGACAAGACATTCAGTAGATGGAAGGAAGTTAACTGTCAGCGCGGAGACGAAGGAATATGCTTCTGAGAAAACTCAGAGGTCTGAGCTACCAGTATCGAACACCACTTCAGAATGTCAGATTAGACTGTATCATGTTGTGGATTAATCAAACGAACCTGTAAACGTTTGAGGGGGCGTGCCCACATCGATCTTGCCAGACCAGAGGTCTGCATTGCAGTTGACAAGGGGCACGTTTCCATTGGTGGTCCGCTTTGCCATCGAGTGAACGTTGAAGTAACTACTCAACGGGTGGGGAGACCCAATGTTCCGTTGGCAGGCCCCCATGATGGCACTGTACTTACTAGTTCACGTCAGGCTAATGAATTTGGTGAATAAAAGAATCTCAAACATACCAATGATACAAAAACTAGCTGTTCCCACAGTCCTTTGATTGAACACTTTGGAGCTGTTGGCAGCGATTTATGTTAAAACGAGCACTTGGCGAAGGAGTGGGTGACCCGACATCTACTACTACGAAAAGTGTACAGCCTGAGATTGCAGTAAACTTTATCTCGGAGGTGTGTCACGTTGGTGGTCTGAGTAAGAGAGGAGGGGTAGTAACAACCAGGTTTAAATGTGTGTCGAGAAAGGCTCAGAAAGCCGCCGTCATGGACTTCAAGTCGGTTTCTGTGTGTCCGTGACTCTGCTTTGTCATCACACAAGCTTCACTCAGCGGCAAGCTGTGCATTGTGCAAGGAGATATACTACATAGGACATTTGAAATTTAAGGTGGGGTTTGCATATGCATTGTACTAACGCAGACACAGAGGAACTGACATTTTACATTGACAGGTGAAGGAGCTCCGACACATTGGCGCACCAGGCTGAGTGTACTAATACCCAAGTACCATTTTATACCATTGCCTCGCCGGTCCGAGGCAAGTCAGGATTTGGCCCAAAGGAAGAAGTCTCACCTGATAATTTGTAGTTTGTTGAGCTTGAGCTCAAGAACCTTTGCAACGCCCCTTCATCGTGCAGACGGAGCGCCAGCGGAACGATTCTTGATACCCACAAAGGAGGTTGGTTCTCTCTCCATCATTTTGTCGCGTAGATCTATAATGATTTGTGTCTAGCAGTGTAGGATCTACCATGAATCAGGAGGAGAGCAATCTCGACAAATTCGAGCGATATGTGATGAACAATATACCGATCCGACTCATACGTCTATCAGACATGAAGTTTGTTGTGCGCAGTGATGTCAAGAAGCACTTCCGGAGCTCTGTACCACTAGAGGACAGTCTGTATCACCCCTCCGAAAGCGTACGATACGCCATTCTATCTCATCGATGGCTGGATGAAGGAGAGCCAACCTACGATGATATGAAGGCGAACATAGCGGAAAGCCTGGCGGGATACACGAAGCTGATAAACTTCTGCAAAAAAGCCAGAGAGTACGGGATGGAATTTGCGTGGTCGGACACCTGCTGTATCGACAAAAACAACAGCACCGAGCTAGACGAGTCGATTCGTTCCATGTTTCGATGGTATCGCAATTCAGCCATCTGTATCGTGCACCTGGCGCAAAGCGAGACCATTGCAGATGTAGAGCATGATGAGTGGTTTACAAGGGGCTGGACGTTGCAAGAACTCCTTGCGCCCGAGAGGATTAAATTCTTTTACAAGCGCTGGACGCCCATGACAGATGATGAAGATGACAAGAACATGGAACCGACTGAAGTAATGGAGACTCTGGAAAGAGCGTCTGGTATCTCTTTTGATGACCTCTTCTTCACACCAGGTCCTATCAGGGTGGATAAACGAATGACATGGGCAGCAAGACGCAAGACAACAAGGGCCGAAGATGTGGCTTATTCTTTAATGGGAATGTTTGACGTCAGCCTCCAGGTCGCTTACGGAGAGGGAGGAGACCGCGCCTTCTGCAGGCTTATTGAGGCAATCATGCAGGCCGGCGATCCTTCCGTCTTCAACTGGAAGGGCCAGAGTGCAGAACATTGCACTTCACGCGCTATTCCTCAATCGCCCCAGAGCTACGTGGACTGTCAAGATTTGGAATTCGATGATGAGCGACTCGAGATGACGATGACCAGCCTCGGCTTACGAGTGCCTCTAGCGATACTTCCACTCAATGTTTCTTGGAGACGGTTTGATGGCTCGAGTACCCAACTCAAACTCAAGTGTCCGCTGTGTCCGACCATCGAAATTGACTTCACTTCATATGACCATACTAATTTGTTTCCAGAAGACATTGGTGAGTCTGATATATAATCGAGAAGGAAAGGTATCTTAACTCGTATATGGTCCATCTAGGAAAAGCTATGTCTGACGAATACTCGTGGGTTTATGCACTCGGAGTTGTCAACTACTCAAATATCGAAGGATTACGCGAAGTCCTTGGGATCCGGCGCAAATCAGCTGGCTTTATTCTAGCGCGGAAACCCAAGTCAACTTTCCCACCGGGATTTCAACCAAGTGACATTCTTGGGATCACAATTGTGTGTCGCCCAGAAAAGAAATTCACGAAGTGGTCATTGATAAACAGCGGGGGTTTGATTGCGGTTGAGTTTCCGAATATACCGGAGGAATCGGTTGTCTACATCGATCCTGACTACTTACAATCCGTGTACTTATAGGTTGTCATGCACCACAGTACACCACCTGTCGTGGTTTCGTACTAAATGGGCCAACTATTCTGCAAGGTGTGATACCTGAAGCCAACCATTTATCATGCGCATTTTTATTTTATTTTAGACTAACACTTTTGTCGTCCTTGCCTGAGTGGGGTGCCCTCGAATAACTTGCCGGTCTTTTTCAAGAAACCGGAGTGACATTTTCAACAGGAACGATGACAAAAGCACGGCCGCCTGGCGAAATGGCATCGCGTCTGACTACGATAACGAAGGAATCAGGAGATTGCAGGTTCGACCCCTGCGGTGGTCATTTTTGTCCAACTCCTCTCGGACGAGAATCTTCGCATTAACTCGCACAGAGCAGACCTCATTCGTCGTTCGGACTGATCAAACGGCCACGAAACGGTTCTTTAATCCTGACTCCTCGACCATCACATATTGGGGCATGGGCACGCTTGTAGGTTCCCAGGTCAGGAACTTCAGGTACGAAGTCGGCCGGACTGTAAATAAAATGAGAATCTTGTCAAGGTGAGCATGACCGATCTGAGAGAATTCCATGGACACTGAGTGATTGGTGTTCCTGTGGGTTATGCTTGTCAAACTTGAACTTTCTTGGTGGTCATCACCTCGCGTTAATTTCATCCATATTCGCTACCATCTGAGCAAGTCCCTTGACCATGACTCTCGTGAGTATGCGCTGCCTTGCGCATGCATGTGTATTATCCTCGACAATCCAGAACTGTCGGCCCAATACAGGTTGAGCTGTTTCCTATATCTTCAAAGTTCAGCTGCTCACTCGCCATCGTTTTGGGGGCACAATAAACGTGGCCGGGGTTCGGCATGTCTTGATGACTATGATCAAATTCGTGTATGCTATGCACACGTTTCGGTCATTCGAACTGTCAGATTCTTCGCTGTGCTGGATCTAGGCCAATTGTAGGCTGAACACCTTTCATCATCGTGAACTTGGACTTGTTGGAAGTAAATTGTACAAGGACGGTTTGGCACTCTTGACGTCGTGCAATCGCTCTGGTACCATCATTGACTGGACTCAGATGAAAGTCCATCAATCACTGCTGCTTGTCACACTGGGAACTTCAAAGACAATTTGTTCATAAAGTAGCGTGAATCGAATTGCAATAGTTGTGCGAGGATGATCAAGTGTGGACACGAACGCACATAAATCATGTGTTACACCTGATGCTGAAATGTAAAGAATTTCTGGTGATATGGGTAAAGATTATCGTAAGCATTTCAAAGAGATTCGACAAAAAGTTCGTAAGCGGCCCTGTTATCCAGCCCTCCTGTGATGTGCAGAGTGACACGCAATTTGCGTCGTTCAAACGCAGACTGATTCCAAACGGTAATGAGTGTCTGCACCTCATCCCTAGGGCTTCTCGTGAATTGAGAGTCATATGCGACCCCAGTTGCTCTTGTGCTGAATATACCACGGACTGGGTGTGGTGTTATGGGAACACGAGAACCGACTGCGCTAAGTCCCTGACCCGCCAGACGAGCAGAGACTCCAAGATCCTCTAGAAAGCGAGTCCAGTCTGCCTGTTGAATCCCATGTTTCTCAAGTAGACCCGAGGGATAAAGAATGCGAAAACCATCTGCGAGGTTGTTTCCAGCGCAGGGAATTCTGAATGGAGGGAAATCGTTAGATTTGACTCTTGGAGGCGACGGAGTGGAGAAGCAGTCAGGTGGAGGATCCAAGGGCTTGCGAAGAATAAGAGAGGAATATTGGGTTAGATCTACAAAGTGAGGTTCCCAGATAGGTGGTGCTGTAGTAGCTGGGGTGTATGGTGGTGGAAGGTCTTCTGACATGACCGTTGTGGTTCAAGACACGTGCCCATGATTAGCGTGGTCCGGGTAAGACTCGTTACGCGCGCTTTGCTCATGCAAAGACTCTCTTGTTTGCAATGCGACCTTTAATTCTTCATGTATCTGCTCTCAACGATCTAGAATACAACCTATTTACTTCATCTCTCAATGATCTTGCAGTCTCACCTGACACTGTCCACGACGATGCCCACTTTGAAGCCATGTCCGTTGGCGTCCGCGAAGTCAGAGCATGGCTACGAGGCAGATATCCCAATCTACCAACTGCAGATATCGACAAGGTTCGGCCATTCATACGCCTTCTTCATGTCCTAACTGTACGCGTTCCGCCTAGATCTTGAAACTCTTCTACCCAAACTTGCTCCACACAGATTGTCTCACCGGTGGCCAGTTTTTTGCTGCACTCAGGCTTGTCCTTCACGCTGTATCAGGTAAACGCGTTGATAGAACTCTTGCGTTTGTCCAAGGTGTGTGTATTACCTCCTCATCCTTCGGTCAGCACTGACCCGAATACCTTCCAGCCCACCCTACCCCAGAAGTTCTTGAACGCTCGAGATCAACTTCTCCCTCAAAGCTTCAAGCGCACGCTCCGCCTGTTCATCCAGACCGACCCAAACAATATGCCACATCCTCAAACTCTTCCTCTCCAGACACAAATCCCTTTCGCAAATCACTCGAGTCTGATACACAGCAGTCATTGTCATCTGTTCAAGATCAATCTGACACCCCTCCCGTCATACCCTCCCGTATGTCACAGAAGATCAGCCATAATCCGTTCTTGATGCGCGACAAAGCAAATTGGACAGACGCTGCTCAGAAATCGCCCGAGCGCAATGATGCCAACATTCCACCGCTTCCTCCTCGAAAACCAGCACCCTTGGTTGCCCAAGCACGTCGCACATCGTTAGCCCAGTCCCGAAATGCACCTGTTCTGGTTCCATTTGATACTCCTCGCAGTATTAAGCCAAGTCATATCATGACTCCCCTGATGAAGCAGTCACTGGAGGCTAGCAAGCACGGTCAGAACTTGAAGCGTGTTGAAGAACAGTTGGATCGTGCGCGTGTTCTACAGGTGCTCAAGACGACTTCATCCGGTTCCTCTGCGAGCAGCAGGCCGCGCAGCCTAAGTCCCACAAAGCAGTTCCGCAAAGGGCTCGACAGTCGTTCGTCTGGATCTGAGGACACATGCCCTGCGCCTCCGCTCCCCCGTCGACGAACACCCAGCTCTCCATCATCAACCTCAAGTTCCCTGCCATCCATCGACCAAGTGGCGAGCGCTAGCTTAAACACCCAATCCTCATATACGCCCACCCCTTTCCGCCCACCACTTCCCACCAGAGAACCAACCTTTCCCGGAAACTCCTTAATTACGACACCAGATGTCTCATCCCATCTACCTGCGCCACCAACCCACCCGGATCGCAGACCTACAAACGACACAGCAGAGTCCATTACGTCTTCCTCCACGCGTCCCACGCGGTCCAAGTCACTGCGCCACACTGCAACACCCCCAGTTCCCCCTCGCCGCAAGCGTCCCGAGAGCATCCAGATCACCGCAGCGTCAAGCACAACGGAACTTCCCTCATCCGCATTTCCCTCACACACACGAACATCCTCATTCCAAGGCCTCTCTCGTCACATCTCCTTCACGAGAGATCGTGACACCACCGACGCCTCACCAATGTCCCACATCCAGAAAACTATCTCAAATCTCCAACTCAAAGCCCAACCCAAACTGGATGCGGCACGGTACAAAGCTGAGGCAGGTCTCAGTCGGCGGGGGTTCGTTCACCATTCGCATGCGCCAGCGAGGTGGATGGAGGAGGGCGAGCAGGGGCTGATGACGGATACCCATCGCGAGGACGACGATGGTGCTCATGTTGATCGTGATCCAAATACGGAGTCTCCTACCGACGATGAGCCGAGCTCAGGGGAAGACCTAGAGCGGATGAAGAACTCTGGCGTACATCGTGACTTTCTGAAGGAAAATGACAACCTCAAATGGCCAGCAGGCGAGGGATGGAGACCGCTATAGTCAAGTTAAGCGTGTGATCATGTGAGAAGTTCATACTGATTGTATTATACCCTGGGTCCCTATAGATACCTACGATATGGTAGATCCGGCAAGTAAGGGGGTAATCGTGTACTAATTACACTTGTCGTATGATGTATCTATATCGTCAACTGTCGTATCTTCATCAGGTTTCGCCAAGGTTTCGCATGTGATCTGTTATTACAAATGTTACTGTCACTTCGCGCTCAGAACAAATCCGCCCGTTTCAGGTGTTCGCGCAAGATCCCATCCCGCACTGCCAGGTTAATCCTTCATTTAAAAGGTTGTTTAAACCACAAGAGAATACAGAAGCACGTACCAGATATCAGTGTCACAGACATACTCTTCGTATCCTATCAAGCAAACGAAGATTAACAGGACTTCCAGCCCGGAACAAAGGGAAGAACCAACAATGACGGACGTCGGGTATATATGACATACCCGCGGCTCCGGAGAGCAGTACCTCACTGTGTCTTTAAACTTTTGTCGAAGGTCTAGAGGCAAGTCGTTTAATCACACTGAAAGATCGCAACACAGCAAGAAATATATACATTTGACAACATCATTCGTCACATTTGGCCGGTCGCCGTAGCTGGGGAGAAAGCGCTTCACCATTACGCCGTGTCTGATTTTCTCCTCGAGAATGTCCATCTTGTTTAGGAAAAGGACGAGGATCGTCCGCGAGAGAAGCTTGGAGGAGCATATCGCTTTCCAGAGTATGAAGGAATCCTCTAGACGGTTGACACGGGGGTCTTCGACAAGTCGCTCGTCAAAACACGAGATTGGTGCGAGAAATATGACCGCATTGACTTGATCAAAATACGGTAGCCAAGCGTGACGCTAGCAGACATCATTCGGCGATGAGCATGAATTGGAAAATCGGCGAAACACGGACTTGTGTGCGCGAGCCGCCAACGTCGAAAATCTTCCATTTCGGAGCATCGGTCTCTGAGGCAAAAATGGATTCAGAAAACAAAGGCAAAAAATCTCACGCTTCACTCACCGTCATCAACTATTAGTTCGTGTTCCTGGATGTCAAGCGTGCGTAATCGAGCACGAAGGACATCGTCATCTGTTGGCTCATAATCTCGTGCCGATAATCGGTCGATTGAGTCCAAAAAGCTGCGGGCAGATGCAATTCAGAGAGAGAAGGCGAGAAAGGAATATGAATGGGCTGACAAGCCGGCAGAGTCCTCGAGCCGGGTCTTCCGTCTCCATAGCATGGCTTGTATGCGACTATCCTCCCATATGGCCTTGATGTCATCTTTGCCATTTGCGATCACATCTGTGCTGTCGAGTAAAGTGGGAAGATCCTGCTGGAAGGAATGTCGCGATAAATCAGGACCTCGGGTTGCTTGAAGAAAGTTACGCCAAGTCCGAGAACGAACAAAGAATTCCGGCGACCCGCTGGGTGCGATCGTTGTTGGGGAGATCTGTTTTCGTGGTTGGATATCTTCGGTGGCACCGAGCAAGCATTTCAAATTACTCTCGACTGCTTGCAGTGGGTTCAGGCGAACTTTATATTGACGATAGTAATCGTCGAACTTGAATGCATCATCGAGTTCGTCTGGGTCAGCATCATCCATCTCCTGTGACAGCGCATCAAGGATGGTGTTTGCAGAACGAACGAGATTTAACAGTATGACCGCTCGCCATGACGCTCGTTCCTCTATCCATCTATCTCGGGCAAACCGCATGCGGAAATCTACAATGCTCATTCAATGATGACGGAATAAGAAGACAACGTAACCTACTCTTCAAGGTTGTCGATTTGCCTGTTGTAAAGCTTGAGATGCCAGGGGAATTGTTAGAGTTGAATGGACGCACCACTTTCACTCTGACCCAACAGTAGGATCTTGACTGTATTCTCTTCTTTCTTTCTTACCGCTCGTTCAGCGCGAATTTCGTCGTCAATGAGATCACTTATTCTTTGAGCCTCATTCTCCCGTTCTTCCCTGGCGGCTTGCTCGTGTGAAGATTCGTTCGGGGGTGGTGCGCTGATAACCGCTAGCGGATCGGTAGTATCGTGATGGAAGACCACGCTGAAAGCCATGTGAGTCAATGCCCGAGGGCACCGGTAGAGGACGATTATGGGTATGGACAGCGATGAAGAATTTATGCGATAACAACCCGCGCTTTATGACCAATCTGTGGGTGACCGAATACTCTCGTAAAAGGTGATCAGGGACGAGTCGTGATGAGCTTTTAGGCAAAAATCTACCCAGTGAATTCCTAGCGGGAAAATCGATCAAGTGTGTGCAAGTCCGAGGCATTGAACGATCATGAAGCCCATTAAGTAAGATTACTGATAATCTCGTTGTGTTGATGGTAAATTGTAATAATATAGGATATCCGCAGAGCTGAAGGACCTCTGCAGTGGTGAGAGTCTTTGAAAGGGCCTGAAAGGCTGAAAGAGCACAGCGTTACCCAGCGGCGTATGTCGTATGTGATCGAAATTGATCGCGTCCTGAGAATGTCGTCAAAGAAACGCCAGGTGTCAGCATGGTTAATAGACACAACCGTATGCTCCCCCAGCTGCTAATTCCTGTTGAGAATTTAAACCCTTACAAAGCCAAGTGTGTCGCTGTCAGTCCACGCCAAGTAACCTAACCTTACAGATAACGGTCCAGGTGAACAAGTGAGTGTATAAATATCAATCATCAGGTATATATGGACAAGTGCGAACAAAGCGCAGCGAGCACCAAAAAAAAAATTATGCATTCATTCCTCACAACAGCGAGTCTAATTTTGAAAGAACTTCGAGAACTCCTGCAATTAAGTGAAACGAAGGGTCATCCTCCCCGTTCATCTCCCGCTTCACCTCTTGCACAAGACCCAGCACACTCTCCCGCCCACTAGGAGCACTATTTCCCATCCCAATATTCGCAGCTTCTCTCCTTTTGCCACCCCCGTTTCCTGTCGCCGAAGTTGACCCGAATGGCCAACAAGCAAACTCCGCAAGTATCTCGTCACATCTCTGAAAGGCAGCTTCCCTGTCTTCATATGTCAATCTGCCAAACGCATTGTCCAAGACACTGGCCGCGTATGCCGCGCACACCAAGCAAACAGTACGTGTGACCCTGCATTGAGTTCCTTCCTTGTCCAAAGCGCTCGGTGGTACTGCAGAAGTGGTCGCAGTAAGCAGCGATACCGCCCGTGTGACAATGCTTTCCTTCGTCCGTACGTCGGCAACTGGGTGTGTGGCCATATCGAACAGCAAGAAATTACGCTTCTCAGTACGCAGAACACCCTTGTCCACCAGTCCCTTTGCTAGACGTTCACGAACTTGCTTAAGTTGGTATCCAATTTTCATGACATTCCACGTCTCTCCTATGGAGAAAGTCAGCTTAGCAATGAGATGAACATCAATGCGGGAATGATGACATAGAATGCTTATAAAATTCTAAACGCACCACTCAGAAGATCAACCCAGCCATTTATTGACATTCTGTCCGTCTCCTGGCCCTTCATCATCTTCAATGCTTCATCAAGGATAGTTTCACCAGTCGGTTTGTCGTCAATAACCTCAATCAGCCTGTCTGCGAGAGGACTCCGCCGTTGATTTGGATCCTTGACTAGAGCTATGCGGCGGCGAAGGGCGAGCTCGATAAGAATACACCCTCTAAGTGCATAGGATATGCTGTCATTCCAAAAGGAGAGATAACCCTGCAAAGAGCTAATGTCAGGGCGTGGCAAATGAGGACACATGTGCATGAATATCGACCGGCTCAAGCAGGTAATGTAAGAGGCATGCTATGCTGCTGAGGCAGGGTAGCCTGAGAAAGCGCAGATAGCACTCAAAAGAACAGCGCACAGAAAATAAAGAGTAGGAGGTGTATAAAAGAGGGTCTGGACATACATGTTTGTCTTTGAGACCAAGAAGGAGCACCTCTTCCATGATTGTCAGCCGAGGCATTCTGCCACCATAGCGACTGTCTTCCTGGACTTGATCGAGGTCGCGAGGATCACAGGCCACTTTGCTTCCGCCTTCAAAAGCCGAGCCTGCGTGTGTTACAACTGTTCCATTGGGGTTGGGACCATTTGGTGTCCAGCTAGGACTTGGGGCGTCATCCGAAGCTGAGGACGATGAAGCTCCAGCCACCCGCCTGCGAGAAAGTCCACCTGCCGAGCTCATCGCATACCACGTTCAGTTTGAAAGATATGGGGTTCCTAGCTATAGTTTTAAGGGAGAGATGACGGGGTGGAGAGTGGTTTGGATGTCCGTTCAGACCAGTGACAAGTTTGACGTTGAAAGCTGTGTCACATTCCCCCGTTCGGAAATACTCCCGGGAGACACTAAGGATCATGTTTCATGTTCCTTAAACTACTTAATCTCCAGCTTCAAGGACCAAGCGCTGAATTTAGTTCACCCTCGAGTGAGGCAGCTACAGCCTCACCATACGACGCTGCAATGACTATTTTGTTGCAGAAACGCTGCATCTCCTGGACCGTCTTTAGCTAAGTTATGGTGTGTTCTCACTGCTCAGAACACGGCTATCTGACTCGGATACAGACAGGGTCATAGACTCTTTTACGCTCAATATCGCTGCGACAGCGTGACAGTATCGCCGCTTTCCCTTAATCACGAATTCCAACATCTTGAGATGCCAGAGAAACACGTTCATGCTATCTTCAACTTTCCGCTGCCTAATCTCTCGTCTCCTTGTCCTTGACAACGCCTTCTAGTTCACACGACAACGTTTTTGCGATACTCTCATCGGTTCACCTTTATTGGTTTTCTATCGTCACGATTGCCAACACTCGGCCCCAAAGCCACACAAAATGGTCATCCGAAACTTTTCGTCAACTTCAAATGTTACGTTCTCCTTCACATTATGGTAATGTGATGACTATGCGTACTATATGCAGTCGCAAAGGGTAGTTGAGAAGCACTCAAGCCGATGCGGCGGGGACCCACCCTTCAATGTCCGAGAATTGTGGCAAGAGGTTAAGTACTCCGACTCTGACAATCGCCGAGATTCTGAGATCTGAAGGTTCGACCCGCATCTGGCACGTGAGATGTGACCGTAGACTTTACATCCAGTTTGAGGGAACGTCTGTCTTCCTTCTAATAGTCTGACTGGGGAATACATTATTTTACCTATCTAAATTGATCTACGCGATGCAAAATACTTCGGCCCACGTGATTCAGGTCCGCGCACAATGACCTGATTTTTTCCCGTCGGTTCATAATTATGTAAAAGCTTCATCCCAGTGGATCACATCATGATCAAGGAACCATTCTTCGTCTATATAAATGAAAAGGTCTGCTTACTAGTAGTACTAGGGGAGACCTAATTCAAGTACTGAAATCACGGAGGCTGCAAGGTCGGCTCGTCCCCTCATCATTTCACTCTAGCCCAGTGAGTTTTACTCCAGCATCTCCTCTTATCCTATTTCTTGTTGTCGTGGTGGTTCAGTTCGTTACTTACCCTATTTTGTTCTGCAGACACATGGTTTCCACTCAGTACGCCGACGGACGTCAAGAAAAACGCGTCGAGAACTATACCAAGTTCTGGCAAAAGGATCTTGGTAAGGAGGGTGAAGTGGACAATCAAAACCGCGTTGAAAGCTACACCGACGTTGTAAATGGTATTACCTCATTTTTTTCTCGAATGGTTCTTTAGTGACAGAAGACACAGGTTACTACGATGGAGCGACGGAGCTGTATGAGTATGGCTGGGCGCAGTCCTTCCACTTCTCGCGATTCTACAAAGGAGAGGCTTTTGCAGCATCCTTGGCCCGTCATGAGCACTATCTCGCAGCTCAAATGTCGCTTCGCCCTGGTATGCGCGTGCTGGATGTCGGGTGCGGCATCGGTGGTCCCGCACGGGAGATAGCTCGGTTTGCCGACGTCAACATCGTTGGATTGAACAACAATGATTTCCAGGTTCAGCGTGCTCGGAAGTACACTAAGAAGGCTGGTCTTGAGGACCAAGTAAGTTTTGCCAAGGGTGATTTTATGAAGCTGTCAGAACAGTTCGGCGAGAACTCATTCGATGCTGGTGGGTGTTTGTACAGTTTCTCGAGAAATTGTTGAACTCGAACACATCGCGATCAGTGTATGCCATTGAAGCCACTGTCCATGCACCCACGTGGGAAGGAGTGTATGGGGAAATAATGAAGGTTCTGAAGCCTGGGGGAGTGGTATGTCAGTCATTGCCTTCAAAGTTCGATATATTGAGCATTGGTTCACAGTTCGGCGTCTACGAGTGGTGCATGACTGATGCATGGAATCCATCAATCCCTGCGCACAAGGAACTTGCCCATGCCATTGAGTTTGGCAATGGTATCCCAGAGATGCGTCACTTGAAGAAAGCCCGCGAAGCCATGGTTAACGTTGGCTTCACGATTGAGCACGAAGAGGATTTGGCTGAACGTCCCGACGAAGTTCCATGGTATTACCCACTTGAAGGCGATGTCTGGAAAGCTCAGACTACCTGGGATTACTTTACCGTTTGGCGAATGAGCTGGAGCGGCAAGCTCGTTTCACACACTGCAATCAAATTCATGGAGATGCTTAATCTTTTGCCCAAAGGCACTTATGATGTTGGCGAATCCCTGAAGGTTGCTGCTGATGCGCTTGTGAAAGGTGGCCAGACAAAGGTATGTTGGAGCGCCTTTCTGTATATCTAAACGGAGGCTCATGATCTTTTTGAAGCTCTTCACGCCCATGTATCTCGCAATCTGCCGCAAGCCCACGCTCTCCGAATGTTAAACTACACACCTACATATATATTACGTATATATCCCCTGCTAACACTTACTTACTCTAGAACCATTGCACGATTATATGGCACTCTTTGACCTTGAGCTTGAACCTAAGGTAATCCGAAACCACAAATGATTCAAAGAGTCCGCCCAAGTTCCGCGCGGTGATAAGCATAGGCCCATTGGGAACGATCCTTCGGGTATTGCCGAAGAAGGATGTGAATTGAGAGCGAACCTTGTGTCAGCTTCACGATACTATGGCCAGCGATCCCAGGGTGAGCAAACCCAGGTTGCCCAAGGCTTATACCGACGAACAGCTCATCTTTCTGCGAAGTCACATAAGCGGCTTCGAGACACGTACTCGCGGACATGTGAGAGGCGACGCCAAGAAGTTCGCGTTAGACCGCGCCAATGAGTTCCTTGTCCGTTTCGGCATGCCCGAAGACCTCCAGGGCATCGACGAGGCAGAGCCAAGGTTCCGGGAGGTGAGGGCAGCTACAGCCGATCTTTAATTGAGGAAGCGAAAATGTATTGATGGAGTTATTGACCCTAGCAAATATACAATTGGTACAAGAATACCGTGGGCCGAGCGAGACGAAAGCTTGAGGGAAGAACGAGATCCAAGAAGCCAGCTGAGAAAGGTTTGGATCTCAAATCAGTACACTCTCCTGATCCTTAGATCTCCATTATAGTTTCTGGGTCCCCTGGTCACAATAGCTTAACATGGAGCCCGAATCTTGAGACTCCAACCACTGTGTCGTATGCCCAAAACGACATAGCAGCCCAAACTGCCAGCTCGTCATCGCAACAGCAGCAGCAATCTCAACATGTACCTCCCCCTCCGCCTACTGGTCATATACAATTCAGTTTCCAGACTAACGTATCAGTGCCTTCTGCAGCCACACTTGCTCTAAAAGCTAGCCCCAACGCTTTGAGAGAGGCGTTCTTTACACGAGGAATAGACGTTTCGACGCTCTCATCGCTCATTCAAAGTTATGTCCTGTCACACCCCTCGCCCACACCATTAAATCCCATAATCGACGCTCTCTTTGCGGCTGTCACTACATCTCTCAACGCCCCGACAGCCTCACGGACTGCTTCAAACCACGACACGATCATAACTATCCTACGTCGTTTCACCGAAGCATGTGGGTATTTCCCGGCGACGGTAGTGCATGCAGGTGTCTCCGGTCCAGTTGCCGGCCCTCGCGCATTGCAGATGGCGATTCGTAAATCGTCCGTATGGTACCCGGTCCTTACCCCGGCAAGTGGGACTACGATGAGCGATGAAATGGAGCGTATCGCCGCAGACCGCCAAAAGCGGAAAGACTATATCCAATGGGCGCAAATTCATGGCGCAGCGCTGGAACTTGGTTTGTTGAGTTTCCGTGGCGACTACGCCAGCACTGCCGAATCGCTGTCGGAGTTGATGGCACGCGATGCAGTCTGGGAGGCAGACGAAGTGGAGTGGGTTGCAGGCATATTTGTTCTGCAATCTCTCATCAGGACTGGGTCATTGGCTCGGAAACATGAGTATGAGCAACTACTGTCCACCTATGAGGGGAGGTGGAAGGAGATTAAGGACGAAGCGCGACAAGCGCTTGTAACGGTTAGTGATGTTTTAGCAATGCACGAGGTTGACTGATGGAACTCCTAGGAGGTGTTGTTGAGCGCTCAACAGGACCTGGCTCACATGGACGAGAGGCGCGTCCAGTGAGCGTTGAGATAGTATCTAGTTTGGAGGGATTTAATACCGAGGTCCTTGTGCTGCATGCAACGTCCTTGACTGCCGTTACCAGACGCGACCCTTTGTCGCTGTCTCACCATTACAATAATATGCCTACTATCATACAAGAATTGAAACAAGGGCTATCGTGGCCTGCTTACAACTTTCGAGCGAGATTGCTTGAAGTAGTCTCCTGAACATGTGAATGACTACTTTCCCCGGATTAACGTTAACGTTAACGATCGATATCATGATCATGAGAAAGCGAACTTGAATTTTCGGTCGATCGAGAATTTAGAAATCGCTTATAAGCGTGCCTTTTTCATGTTCGGCTGTCTCTTACAGCTCCTTACTCATGTACGTCCTACTCTTTTTTTTTTTCTCTCAAGCTCGACTCCAGACCCTTCGACCCCGCTTAACTGTTCTGTCACTGACTCGCCATTCTAACCGCATGAAATGTGCACTCGCTGCGCAAGCCTGTCACACTCTCCCTCAAACACGTTCTTTGAGGTGCATGATCCCGGTTTCACTGGAGGAATCGTAACGTGTTTTATCCCTTCAATCCTCCCATCGGTCCCGGCGACTTTCCGCGTCGGCGGCCCGATTCCCACTAGGCGGCTGAAAACTCAAATTACATTCGTATACAGTGCGGTGATCCGAAGCTTGTACGATTTTTGAATGCCACGTTTTCCCGGTAGCATGTAACCTCACACGCGCTAATGAGATATTCAGAAGTTTCCCTGTGAAAGGATGACTTCTAGTCGCCGATCATAGCAAAGAAGCCCGAATTCACTTGTTCCATCCGACAAAAGCACGCCCTCCAATGTCCGCGAATTGCAGGGCACTCTGAGTCGTTGTGACGTTTCCGAATGTTCATATGATCTACACGAGTCTGGAATGCGGACTGCCGGTACGGACAAGGTACGGACATTGACTCGCTTTTTACCCGCATTACCTGACCTTTATTACTCTTTTTGAGTTCAGGAAGGGTTCAGGGGGGGTTGTTATATGGGCAATCAGAGGTTTGCGAATCCTTTCTTGAAGACTAACTTGGAAGGGTTAGCCAAGTCAATCCCTCTAGAGACTAACACCACGACCCGAACTGAACTGTGATTACAAGAAAGGGCAGGTGTCCTTCTATGGAAGGTGATACAGCCTTCGTTTACCGTGGAACCGAAAATGGGGTCAATGTTCGGATGAGTCGAAGGGGCCTCGACAAGTTGCACGTTTTAATATTCTCACAGAGTGAGGGAAGTAACCAAGTATGTAAGTCTTCTATTGATGCACGGGGCAAAGAGGGCGTCAAGATTACTTTCAGTCTTTCAGTCGATCATCTATAAAATACAGTGCATTCCTCACCTCCGCTCTCACTTTTATTCCTTCCTCTCGGCCATCGGATCCACGCGTGTGCAGGCATACAACAATTTAGCCATCGACCTCAGGTGCGTCCGCGTTGTGCCTGAAAGCATGGCGAGCGACTGACTCTTGCTACTACACGCCATAGACTAGACTTTCTTGCGACAACTCCTTTCGTTCTAACTCACTCTTTAACACTGCCACAGAAGTTTTACTATCAGTCTAGATGGACAACGGTCTCATGCAAAGTAGTTCCACTTCAGGTGTTTCAAACAAGGTAGGATCGAGCAACCCCTCTATGTCCGCCTACAGTCAGTCTCACTTTTCTCGTTGTCTGGACCGTAGTTATCTATCTCGCTTGACTTCGGTAGCACCAGCACCTCTGCGGACACCAGTGGCAACCAATGGTCGCCTGTCGTCTCACCAAAGTCAGCATTGACCTTTGCAGCGGTATGGGACCCAGATGACGGGATGGTGACATTTTCCGGAACACACCTGCTCGATTCAAGCGACGAATACGACAGTTCCTCAGGAGCTATTACTCCTCCTGACGTTTCGGACGATGATTTTTCTCAAACTGTCCCAGCCGACCACGACGGATATACTACATCAGAAGAGAATACTGCAGCTACTATTGGAACATTCCAAGATTCGTTCAAAGCCTTCCTCCATCGTGTTCCGCGTTCAAAGTTTTGCAAGCGACATAAACACTCCAATACGGTGACATCCTCAACGTTGGACGGACTAGACGTATACTCGCGAGACCCTATTGTACGGCCATCACGCCGGTACCCATCTTTTGATAAGCTCAACGCGGAACTCTCGTGCAAGGCGCAGGTTGACCACTCATTGGAGTCAGATCTTGTGTCAGATGAGGGTTTCTTCGAAAATATACCAGTCATTACAAAACAAACAGAATTGGTGCGTCTGTCGTCGTACCACGCTGCTTCACAGCTCACCACTGATACAGAAATCACACTGGTCCGTTACGACTACCTCGACGTCTGCCTATGTCGATGTCCCACGTGTGGAACAAAAGACCCCTGGGAGTCGTGTACCACATCCACTATGGATAGCGGACACATACCAGCCAACTTTTAACCTCGCCACTCCCCCAAATAGTCCGCGCCGACGTCTGAGAAAACGCCGCCCTGGTGACTGTCCAACTCCAGTTTCTCCGATTTCATATAGCAGCAGTTCAGGTTCGACAAGTCCAATTTCCACTAGTACTTCCTCCACCCCGACATCGCCTTCACGTAGCCTCAAGTCCAAAAAATCTCGTCGTTTTACAAAAGCGCCAACTGACGACAGCTAGGTCTCTATTGAAATAACTCCATTCATTACCCAACGGGTCGTCGAGGAGATGTGAGGGTCTTCGGTGCCTTTCTTGGCCCGAGTGCGACATTGTATACACTACTTTATGGTTTACCCTCCTTTTAAAGTATTTTCCTTCCTTCTAAGTATCAATATGCGCTGCAGGCAGTTACTACACACTCACTGTGAACGTTCCTTTCACTGTAATTATGTAAATTTGCTGACGCATGTTTATACTATTGAGAGACGGCGTCTCGCATAGGTGCTGGCTCACCGTGACTGCGTTTAGATATGTATGATCTGTACACACCATCGACGGTATATATCACGGTGATATTACAGCACAACAATATTTGGGTATGCACCCCACAGAAATACAATTGGTCCAAGTACCAGCGAGCCACTGGAAAGCCTCTTTTTAACCAGAACCTGTCCCCCAAGCGCCTCACGACCAGCCCCAGCGCTAACTTCGCGTAGAAGTTGGTGACCATACATAAGCAGAATGCAAGGAGAGGCGAATAAGCGTGTAAACCGAGGAGTAACATGTATCGCGTGTATATAAGAGGAGGAAAAATCACAAACATAACAACATAATCATGATGAGAAGTAGACATTGTCATCCCAGTCCTCTGAAACGTGGATGAGCAGTGTTGAAATAGATGGGACATATAACGTACCTTCTGTGATTCCTCGCCATGCAAAGTAGAGAGTGACTACGCATGCGGTCTCCAGTATTGTGGCGATGAACGAGCCGTCAACTTTCATTGATGAGCCCTGCAGGTACCGACAGATCAGCAGTGTCGGACGTATCATCCTTCATGCATTACGTACTCGACATATAATTTTGCTCAGTAAGAAGTAGTCGAGCTGGCTAAGCACGAAGAGGATGCCTGCGATGACATAGTACCACACAGGTCGGATTTCGTTCAGAATCCCAAGGACAATGTACATCATAAGTCCGAAATAGATTAAAGCAGCGCTATAAAGATGACCCGGAGAAGTGAGCATAAAGAAGCTGCAATGAGGTCGCGCGACTTACACTCCTGGCCAGATACTAGTGAGGACAAAAAGTGGTATACTGTTGATAGATTGGGGTGGATTTGATGTTCCAAGCACATGTGTAAAGGTAAATCCGACGTCCAAGGATATATAGGTTGTTGCGATGAAGAATGCTACAGAAAGTACGGAGAAGGGCTGGGGTGGGAGGTGAGCTGGCTGTACGTCGGAAAATGGAATCAAGACGCACTACTATTGAGCTCAGGGTGCCATCTTCCACGATCTGCGTTGCTACAATGGCATTGGCGAGCAATGCCCAGAATAATGTAGCGACGAGACCAGCCTGGATGGCAGTAAGCGCAACCAAGGCAGTCGAGCCCTGGGTAAGCAAGGAACCGGAGGTAATCAACTGGAATGGAAGAGTTAAGAGGTACAAGACGAAGAATATCCGCAGTTCTATACGGCCTGTAATATAAAAAGATTAGTTTACAGGAGCGGGAAGGATGTGGGGAAGGACATGACATGTGGTTGAAGACAAAAAAAGTGGGTTTGGCAGAAGTAAGAAGACTAACCGACTGCTGCTTTGCGCCTTCCAGTGAAGTAAATCAAAGCGCCGATAACAAAGAAACTGAGACCGCAAGCGATGATATTGGCGATGTTGCCCAGAGAGCCGTTGGTATTCACTTTTGGTATCCCACACTCTGGATTGACACCGACCGGGGCGGAGGCGGCGGATTGAGATAGACCAGTCAAGACGGTTGGATCATTTGTTTGTAACTAATGGGGGAATGAGGTGAGCGAATGGGTAGGGAATATGGGGTTATGCAGACCTGGCGATAAAAGAGATTGCACCAGGTGTATGACGGGACCTGGGAGCAAAGTGTTTGGAAATCGCCAAATCGAGTCATCACAGTCGAAGTGAAAAACAGCGATGATTATATAGACGAGTAGCAGAAGAAGTTAGGGATATATACACGGGTTCTGGGTAAAACTGAATCGTGCAGGGCGTGCAGAGTTCTATAGAGTCGTCAAGCAAGAGGAATTGAACGCTCGTAAACAGGTCAATACAACAAGTTATTACTCACATTATTTGATAGATGAGAGAATAAACGAATTCGAAGGATATGATTTAAGTTGCAAAGGATATAAAACCAGTATATCGATATCTTTGGAGTCGGACGAGCTTGCGAAAGAACGAACGTTTGAACAATTGGAAAACAAGTTGATGCCAACGGCCACGTTGTTGTGGTGTCGGTGTGCTATTGTATTGATTAGGTAATAATGCAGAGTTGCGCTGGCTGCTGCTGTCCTCGTTGTCAAGTCTCAAAACACACCGAGTACTGCTCGCGATCGACATTCGACCAGTGAAATCTTATCCAAAATTGAAGCCATTTGCTCATCTTTGATGCAATGCCGTGCCCGGCCTATCTCGGGAGTTGCTTCTTGAGCCGCATTGCGGCATGATCAGTACTGATGATGATAATTCATGCATATCCATGTCAACAAGCTGAGTCATTCGTTTAAATACAGGAGCCTGAGTTTTATATCATTATATTCCCAATGTCTACAGTTCAGTACCGCTCCCTTGGCAAGTCTGGTCTCAAAGTCTCTGTCCCAATTGTGAGTTTGATGCTAGCGTATAGCATTCACCTTCTATTAATATTAATATTCATTCTTCATAGCTTGGTGCGATGAGCTTCGGTTCCCCGAAATGGGCTGTATGTCATTGTTTCCTATCTCCGACTCGTTAACCACATCCTCAATATCTTACAGCCCTGGGTCCTTGACGAGGAGCCCTCTATTGAAATAATGAAGGCTGCTTGGGATCTTGGTGTCAACACCATCGACACCGCTAACATTTACTCAAACGGTGAGTCGGAGCGCCTCGTCGCCAAGTTCATTAACAAGGTGTGCCTTACCGATATCCTAAATTTACATTCATTAATGTACGAACTCCACAGTACAACATCCCTCGCTCCCAGATCATTATCTCCACCAAATGCTACGGCCTTGTCGCAAATGATCCTTCCGTCCCGACGTTCGTCATGCCCGATCTCAATAACCTGCCCGAGTACGTCAACCAATCTGGCCTGTCTCGCGCCGCAATCTTCAACGCTGTCGACGCGTCCCTCGCTCGTCTCGACACCTCATACATCGATCTCTTGCAGATACACCGCTTCGACCCTTCAGTCACCCCTCAGGAAACCATGAAAGCACTTCACGACCTCGTGCAGAGCGGTAAAGTCCGTTATATCGGCGCCAGTTCCATGCGTTGCTGGCAGTTTGCCATGTTGAATGACGTGGCAGCTCGCAATGGTTGGACGACGTTTATCAGCATGCAGGATGAATACTCGCTACTCTACCGCGAAGAGGTGTGTCCCTAAAAATCACAACGTTTGCTCTCCAGTTTAGCATCATGTCTAGGAACGCGAGATGCTCGCTTATTGCAAATACAACGGTATCGGTGTCATCCCTTATGCTCCTCTGTATTCTGGCCTCCTCGCACGTCCCGTTGGCACACGGTCGATGCGTCAGGATTCTACCAAAGGAACTGTTTTCGAGAGAAAGGTGACCAGTGCGGACGCGACTATCATCAACCGCGTGGAAGAGCTTTCCAAGAAGAAAAACATCAAGATGAGCCAGATTGCGCTGGCTTGGGTTGCATCAAAGGTGTCGAGCCCTATCGTTGGTATCAGTTCTATACAGAGGTTGCAGGAGAGTATCATCGACGGAATTGAACTCGCCCCGGAGGAAATAAAATACCTGGAGGAGCCGTGCGTATTCTGCTCGCTTGGTCACTCGACATGAGACTGACGACGCCTTTACAGATATGAACCCAAGGCCATCGGTGGCCACCTTTAGATGTTGGCAGTCAACCTACAGCGCCAAAGAAGATACACCAGCCAAATCTGTAGCACTTTGTATTACCACCATCAATGCAACGCACGAGTGGAGAATGATTATATCAATTTCAAAAGCCTGCATTACTAGAGAAACATCGCTGGCAGGAAATCCGTGCTCCTGGGTTGTTATCCTGCAACAGCTAGCTCGGTGATCGTGCACTTCGACTTAAAGGGAGCTCTTCGTCGGTGTACTCCTCGAAGGTGAATATATGCGGCACACGACTCTGAAGACCTGGATTTATAAAGGATATTTGTAAATAGGTTCGGTTAAATGTATGGTTTTGTTGACCCTAAGGCCTGTGAAACTAAAGTTGAGGGTGATTGTAAAAATAATTCATTCAAAATGATGATGATACAATGCACAAAAATGCACTCAAGGTATGGTATTGTAGCCCCTTTATTCATGATTGTCTTACTAAATATATAGAAAGATTAATATATATGTTGTGTCTTATATGATGTCCGCCCATGCCACCGTTGTCTATGCGGAAGTGGGTATATAATAAGGTGTAAAGTGTATAGTACGTACATACATACTGATATATGACTAGGCATATGCACGGGTATGGGTAACCCGTGCGGGTCACGGGTATGGGTACTACTGGGGTACGGGTGGGGGTCCGCACTTTGAGTACCCGGACCCACACCCCACACCCGCGCTCGGGTTTGACCGGTACATTACATAATCGAGAACTATAGCGGTACTTACTACACTTGTCCTATTGCTAATGCTTACACTACCTACTATAGCGTGCTATACCCCTCCATCTTCTTCAACACAACGCCTGCCTTCAAGCTCGAGCCATGCTGACCCAAGTCGTCGCCCACCGTTTGCAGTATGTGAGTGCGCTGATCCTCGTTCGAGCAAGAGCCATGCTGATCCAAGTCGTCGCCCAATGTTCGCAGGATGTGAGCATGCCGATCTTCATTCGAGCAAGAGCCGTGCTGATCCAAGTCGTAGCACAACGTTTGCAGGATGTGAGTGCGCCGATCCTCGTTCGAGCAAGAGCCATGCTGATCCAAGTTGTCGCCCAATGTTCACAGGATGTGAGCATGCCGATCTTTGTTCGAGCAAGAGCCATGCTGATCCAAGTCGTCACCCAACGTTCGCAGGATGTGAGTGCGCCGATCCTCGTTCGAGCAAGAGCTATGCTGATCCAAGTCGTAGCCCAACGTTCGCAGTATGTGAGTGTGCCGATCCTCGTTCAAGCAAGAGCCATTCTGATCCAAGTCGTAGCCCAATGTTCATAGAACGTGAGTGTGTCGTCCTCGTTCGAGCTCGAGCCATACTGATTGAAGTCATTGTCTATTGTTCATAGCGTGTCGATCCTCCATCGAGCTCAAGCCATACTGATCGAAGTCGTTGCCCACCGTTCGCAATGTCTTAGTAAGTTCTATTTTACAATCATTTTTTTCATATTTCTAACTTGATATTTATATGTACTACCCACGGGTAAACCCTGCACGGGTGCGGGTGAGGGTACGAGCTGGCCATACCCCCCAAAAACCCGCACCCTTCGTGCGGGTCCGGGTATACCTCGGGGTGCGGGTGCGGGTCAGGTCCCCGACACCCCAGGGTATACCCGTGCGGATCCCTATATATGACCTTATACATCCATTCATATCCACACATGTACACCTTATTTATATGGTCAAAACAGAAATAGGTTACAAAGTTCAAAACTTTTTTCTCTTCTTGGGCTGGTACATATGTTAGAGGGATTCCCAAGGATCAATATGAGCCCGGAATGAAAGAAAACGGCGGTTGGGATGTGGAGATAAAGTCCAAATACTGACTTTTTCATACCTGTGACCAAACTCAATATTTTCGACCTCCAGAGACCCTGGGACCATCACCAATCGATTTCTACGTCTTAAAAGCACCAGGACCATTATTTACAGTATCGGTTTTGAGCTAAAAGTGACCATAGTCAGATATATGAGGTAGGAGGGGGGAGGAGGACCTTCTATATCTCAACAACCTGATTTTTCCTGACAAAACGGGCTTGACCATCGTGTTTAGGGACATCAAGAGCACTCCGGAAAAATACTTTTAGAGGACAAGCAAGTCATGGGAAGCCTAGAAAAATCGATCTTTGAGGGGGGTATCAGGAAAACACCCATATGTTAATTAGGATGGACTCAAATCACTCTGGGACCATTTCCAATCGATTTATATGATAATAAAACAGTAGGATTAGTTAGGGTTATGAGACCTTCCAGGACTCGAAACAGGGGCGGGAATCGGCATTCCCGGAATTTAAAAAAAAAAAAACATTCGGGAAAAAAAACGGCCCTCCAGGACCGCCGCCGGGGGGGGGGGGGGGGGGTCGTCGGTCGAACAAAGAAAAAAAAAGAGAAAAAAAAAGGCCCTCCAGGACTGCCGCCATGGGGGGGGGGGGGGCGGTCTATCGCTCAAAAAACACAGAAAAAAAAAAAAGGCAGTCCAGGACTGCCGCCATCGGAGGGGGTGGCAGACAGGTTCCTTTCCCACGGACCAAAAGGGAACCCAGCATGCCAGGACTGCCACGCCTTGCAGCGGCACTCTGAGACTGCCAGCTTGGCGCCGCTGATGCCCAGATGCGAGCATGGTCGAGATCATCTCCCATGGATGGCATATGGTGGCACTCTTGGACTGCCGTGGGCGTTGCACGCGACCCTTGATATGACATCCGAATAATTGGAGGAAATGGATGCACAAACAAGATGTAGATTTCAGAATGAGCATGTAAGTAAAGTAAGCACGACCAAAAAAAAAAAGACCCTGCCCCGCAGTGGGACTTCTCAGACTCCCGACGGTGAATAAAAACTCAGATATCCATTTTCAAATGCGTGTGATAAAAAAAGTCTCTGCCCTCCATGGTGGCGCTCTCGGACTCCCGATAGTGCGAATCATCCCCCTTTGAAACACGATCCATGCATCTTTCTCTTCATCACCTCCGTCTTCTACCGATCTCAAGTTCCATATGTGAAATATGTCCAAGCCTGCTACTACCCACCCACTCACACGAATCACTCTTCTTTTTCATACAACCTAAACCACCACAACTCACCATGCTGTGGCGGTCATGGACTCCCAACATTGAAAGCTGAGTAGTGAGCCTAGGTCAATAGGATTCCTCATTTTCCTCCAAAAAACATTGAATTAGAAGATATAAATTTCCTTGCATTTTGTGTAATAAAAACATTGAAAACAAATAATGAATGTATCGAAGAATTTCTGTATGCAAGACATATTCTAAAAATGAGTCATTTTCCCTCAAGAAACGGTCTATTTTTCATTCATCATTCCTCGCATAACGATTTATAATCGTGTTAAATTTTTGCCTGTGTTTTTCCAACGTTCTGTGTATCAAAAATCTCAATTGCTTCATCCTGTTCACCATATGTTTGATCCAAGAACATTGAAAATCATATAACAAATAATAAAATATATTTTGACAATGTTTTTGTTACTGAAAAGCAAAGAAACTTTCAAACATTCGTTTGTATATTCAGCAAGAGGAAATTTATGAAACATGCGCCATGCTTGCAGTATATTCCTCCTGCACAACACTTGAAAAACATTTATTATGTTCAGAGAAAAAAAATGAAACATGATTGCAGGATACTCTGCCTCAGAACATGCACAAATCATACATTTTTCTGCGCACAATAGATGGAAAATACAGCATTGTCCTTGAAGGAACATGATCAATTTTTGCATCATGTCCCACACACAGAAAATCATTGAAAACATGACTTGCTTTTTTTTCGATGTTTCGAACAGACAAAATGAAGATACACTGGTCCAAGTAGTGCTGCTGTGGTCTGGTTCAGTCTGGTTCAGCGGGGCCGAAACTAGCGATCAACAATGGAATTGTTAGGCTTGCCCTGACAAATGAGGGCCAGCCCACATCCGATCTTTGCAGATAAGTCAAGCCCAAATTTGACTGTAAAATATACCTGAAAGGAATCCAAGGATAGAAAATAACAAACTGGAGTAGTCTTATGAGTGGCAAGTGATTGTGATTGAAGCCCAGTGAAAACCCAACATGATGAGATTGGGTGGAATATGACAATTCTATGATTACATATTGTGAAAAATGATGAGCTCTGAGATTTTCGACCAAGACGTGTTGTATCGCATCATCTTCGTCGTATTGTGCATCGTCCTCGCATCATTTTTGTATCGTTCACATCATTTCGCATCATTCTCGCGTCGTTCATGTTGTGCTGCACATTGTTTGCACCATGTGCATCGCTCTTGTGATCTCATTGCGCATTGTTGATTGCATTGTGTTGACGTCATACTAAATCCGCAACAGTTTTTACTAAGTTCATATAAGCATGTTTTCGGGTGTCCAAAGACATCCGAACATGTCTCTTTCTGCTACCTCCATGTCTACTACTAGCAGTGGATCTGCTCCTAGATGCTCGCACAAAAGCTCTTACCCTATCTTTGTCGATCCATTAAGCTTCACCAAATCTTCAACAACACGCAGACTGCAGTATTTCTTCTGGACTCTGTTGTGAGTCTTTCAAGTGTTTGATGCCCCAAGAGTGGCTTTTTTGACTGCTTGCCATAGCTATTCCATGTGTCCGCTGGGTGCTGCAAGAAATGTTTGGTAAATACTTTCATTTCAACTATTCAATGTTACACCCTAACCATTTTCACACAGAAATTTATGCGCCTCACGCTGGCTGAAGACGGCGAGCAGCACTATAGACTAATTCTGCCTGTACTGGGCCGCACTCACATCTGCGCAACAGGACGAGTACAAGGCTGACATGGGACAGTTGCAGAGCGCAGGACTGGACGAAGGGATCTGACAAAGCCATCTGTGATGGTATTCATGTACTAGTCTTTCTCCTGCATTTCCTGGCTCTTTTCTTCACTTGTCACTGTCTCATTTGCATGTATTTTCCACTCTGTCGTCTGCTTCTGTATTTCTCACTGCTTTCATTGTTATTTCCCCTGCATATAGTCCCCCCCCCACCCACCAATTCCCGATTTCATATCAGTTTTGCTGCATCATAAATTGCAGTAATTCCTGCTTGTAATGCTACAATCCCATGTCACCTGTTCTCATCTGCTGTCGTCACAATTCAATCCATCTAGACCATAACTGAGAATATGCTAAGATCGGGTGAGATATGACTGTTACAACAAAAGTCCGATGTCATCATAGGAAACCCTGCCTCATCATGTAATATATGTGATCTACTCGAGTCCTCTGTGAGCAGCTTGGGAAATTTCATATTCAAGCAGGAATTTTCAGATCTGACCCGCTGGCGCCCAACCCCATCATGTTGGGTTTTCACTGGGATTAAAGGTTGCTTGCCATGCCAGATAAATAAAACTTGGTATGCTTGCAAGGATCACAAGGTTGATCATTTTCCCTTGAAGGTATACACCTATTTAGTCGAGAATATGAGATCCAGGTTGCAGAAATATAAGTGGATTGAACTGCAAAATCAAGGGATCTTATTCTGGAGCTAAACTGTTGTGCTATCATGCACCCGATAATGCAGTAAACACTGAGGATGAATGAGACAGAACACAATATCTTTGTAGCGAGTTGAGAGCCCAGACCTGGGATGGCCAGGATTCTGGGGTTAACTGCCATAATGACACTTGCCTGACAGAGACTGAGTATTCTCATTTGGGTGTAGGATGTAGCACTCACCACAGTTGCTTGAGCTTTAGTCCAGATTTTTGCATTTCTCACCTAGTGAGTGCATTCACAACAAACGAGCCTTGGGTTGACCGTAATGGTTCAAGTATTTGTGGTGTCCTTCTTGACTGTTCAGTTCGCTCATGTCTGGTACAGAAAAAGAACATTGTATGGATTATATGCAATAAATTTCCTGTTACTAAGTAATAAGGTAAACTCATAATGGTCCATTATTCTAAGGTTTATGCAACACAAATTGTGACACCGGGTGCATCCATCATCCTATTAGGGCCTGCAAGTGCCACTGTCCTTCAGGCATCAACTTGCTGATGCAGATTGAAGAAGAAGGTGCATACCAACATTGGCCAGCTCAGAGGCCATCTCCTTCATTTAATCCAGATTCCAGAATAATGAAGCTGCTGTAGAATTTTCCAACATCAAAGCTTCTATTTTTTGGTCAGTTAATCTGATTGAGTACCACAATGCCAAAAAAACTTGCCTACATGGTACCAGCTTAACTGAATCTGTAAAGCTCTTATTTTCATGTGATCTATTTTGATCTTGAATGGAAAATACTCAATGTGTTTCCTGGACAAACAGTGGAAGCCGTTCAGATCAGTTTGACACAACATTGCTTACCAGAATTGGGCCTCAAGCTCGAGTCCTGCAAGATCACTTTCAAGAAGTGAAACATGAAGGGAAACAAACATACTTTTATGATTCCAATGCCACACCACCATACATTCCTGGAAAAGAAGATAACCATCTACAGGCTCTAACCAAGTATGTTTGTCCAGGACTACACAATAATATGGGTATAGCTCCTGGCCTCTTGCAAGGATCGGCTCAACGACTAAAAATGATGGATTTACCCCATAATTTAGCTCTCGATATGTTGATCCAAGACTCCAGCCTTTGGAGCTGCTCATCTGAACAAGTATGCAGGTTCATTTCGGTGTATGTCATCTACATTCTACAAAGTGAGCGCCTTATCCCTGTTAAGTAAGCTAGGGGAGCTCCGATTTTCCCCAAGGGACCGCTGATTTGCTGATATTATTGCTGGTATGAGGGAACAGTGATATGCATTACTAATTAGTAACAAGATGGGGTATGTGATGTATTTACTAATTAGTAAGATTAATGGTGCTACCCAGGTGTGGCACATTAAGGGTTGAGTGGATTAGAATGCCTTTCGACCTGGTCATTCTAAATACAATGTGCCAGGCAAGCATCTTGGAAAACTTCGAATGGAAGAACCAAACCAAACCATTTTGCTATGGGACTGAGTAAGAGTTGGATAACATGATCTAAATCAGAACACCCACGTTGATAGGAAGAAGGTCAGATTTTGAATGCAAGAAGTTTTCTAGCAACATCTCAAGCTTAGCTTGGATAACTGGATCAAAGATATCATGCAGTCCAAATCCTGCTTCATGGTGATCGATTGCCCAATTGGCTACCTGAGCTGTATCATAGATAAACTGAGGTTTGCTTGTGGTGATCTCATGAGGGTTCACAGAGTTTCCAGTGCATATTGCCACTCTGAAAAGAAGTTGTAGGTAGGCCAGCATCATCATCATCATCATTGTCATCATCATTATTGGTGTCCTGCGCTTTGATGATAAGTGCATGAGATGCAGCTGGGATGGGATGAGGTGCAGAATCGGCAATATATGGTGAAGAGTGGGTGTGATAAATTGAAGGTGCTCCATGATGTGAATAGGCGCCATCACCTTCCAACGCCATATTGACATCCAATGAAGTCCAATTGTTAAAGAGTGAGTGGTCATTTGCTGATCTGGTTGAATAATGTCTGACATATCGAGAATACTACCAAAATTGAAGACGGGCATGTTGTACCCTGATGGATAATCAGCCCAGTGGACCATGGTCTGGAAGTTCATGAAATCAACCTGCACAACCGTCACTAGATATAGCACCAGAGTTGCAAGGTAGGCTTACAATGTCATCGTAAACAATGTGAATCTTTTGTCTTGGCCCTGCCTGGTCCACTTGGCAGGCAGATCCATGACTGCGGGGGAGATGTACCTCTACAAAACTAATCAGCAGGATGCAGGGCAAAGTTCATATTCAACTTATACTTTCTGCATTGAGTGCAGGAGCATGGACGTGTCTGGTCTCTAAATATGCAGTAAGTTTGATGTGTTGTTGTACCTATAGAGCTAATCAAAATACAATGCAAAACAAAAATAAATCCACCTACAGCCTCAAGACCCTGTGTAGAACACTGCAGGCCATAGTGAGACCACAAGAAATATTCCAGAAAGACATACTCACATACAATGGACACAGAACTGGTCCCTGGCCAACTACAGTATACCTGATGAAGGGCAAGGTGTCGATTACGCCTACAAGCTTTCCCTGAAAAACTGAGTTAGGTGTGAGCAATCAGCAAGGTGGAAATTTTTACAAGTAATGGCATCATGAAGGGGAAGGTTTCTTTGTACATGTAGAATTTGACATTGTAAAGGACTTGGTGTTCTGGTGAGAAAGACATTGTTGATTAATATTATAGATTGAAGACAAACTTTATAAAAGCCTTTACTTCAGTGTGGACCTACCAATCTATCCCAATGTTATTATGTGCATCGTGCAACAATATACCTTAAATGAGTGCCACTTCCTGCCATTCCAGGGCCTCGGCTGGCACTCAGAGGGCCTCGAGTGCCACTTGAGTGCCATTTAGCAGTATCAGGTGCTTTGAAGTTATTACATCCATGAACACAGCGATCAAGCATATTTCTACTGCAAGGTCATGGGCAACATTCAGTTCTCATAATCTACTTCTAGTTCGGTATCATACATTTGACCAAATTGAGACAATAACGACTCATTGCTAGCATTGAAACACTCCTTGAGGCTTAGTTCACCCCTGATACCATCATCATCATCTTGTTCTTCCGCTTCATCTGTATCTTTGTTTTCATCTGTATCTTTGGATTTGTCGTCTGCGATGAGTTCTCATGAATCAACCTGTGTGGAGCAATCATGAGAGTAAACATGACCCACTCCAAGACTGAAGTGAAAGTGCATCAACATGTCACGATCAACAAACCTAAAATTGTGAGCTCGGCATTAATCATTTATGAATCATGCCCAACTCACCAATTAACATAGTATTTGCGCCAATCTTCCTTATCCCCCACACATGCAGACACCCCCAATTTATCATCATGTCTCTTGCCCCTGGTGAATGCAGGTATGATATGGCAACCCCTGAGGATATCTTGGGGATCGATGAAGTCAAATGAGGATTCATCGTCCATGGGTGGAAACCTAAGTTGATCAAGAGTAGAAGTGTCCCAAGTGGAGACCTGTTCTATGGGCTGGTACCAGCAAACCCATAGGAACTCCACTCGGAGAGGAGTGAAGTCGATCATACCGACTCCAATGTAGATTACATTAACATGATAAACACCCAAAACCTTAGCATAGATAAATCTATGGCCCTCATGTCCCATATCATTGTCAGAGCAGAGAACCATCACATTGCAGTGAGAAGTGCAGGGGTTGACGACGTCTTGAGCTCTACGAACATCGTACATAGTATAATTGAACCGGGCAATGTTGTGGTGATACAAACAATCATCCTTGACGATAATGGTGTTGGTGTTGTGCTCTTCTTTCGCAGATGAGGCATCAGGGAGTTTGTGAAGATCCTGTAATAGATGATGCTTGAGCTTCGGAAGGAAATTCTGTAGGGACGTGTTTGAAGGTGTTCTTGGGGTAAGTATGATTAGACTAACCTTGATCGCCGGATTGCCTTCATGGCTGCACAAGAAGGTTCCTATGTGTATTGGGAACTTTTGCATCATACCAATGTGATGGTGAAGATGCAGGTTTCTTGCTATTTCAGCGATTTCTGGGTGGGGATGATGAACTATCTTGTCACCAATGCGATGGATGCGAGCCTGACAGTGTTCAATGCAGGTCAGCTGTTTCACAAATGATTCATGATCGGTGCGACTATATCTGGCCTTGGGAGAGCAGTGTTCAAGCTCACCCTGGATAAAAAGCTGGTAAGTGAATTCTGGGACTGAACATAGTAGGACTGACAGGTTCGGAGCTGTACAAATTGGACGTGCCATACTGATGAATTGTAGAAACATAGTCACCCAAAGCATGGAACTTATAGGTCTAGAAGTTAAACACCTTATTGCACTGTGTATTCTTTGGATATATCACTGGCTCCCTTTGCTTGCCCTCCTGCCCTGTCATCTGCTTCGACGCTCGCTTTGCATTGCGTTGGGCGCAAGCCTCAACCTCCTGACGAAGTTCTTGTGTATCGTAAGCTGAGCAAACAGTGGCTTTGAAATTCCGAAACTGTTGGCCGACTGCAGAAGTAACTTGGTCCATGATATTTAGTGTCAAATCAGAGTGCATTCAAAACTTGGCCAGTCCGTGCCAATGCGCCATAGTGAATAGCAATTACATGATGGTCTGATTGTGTAGTTCGGGGAGAAGACAGTCAAAGACAGGTATAGAGCACTTCAGATCGAGTCAAGGCCCATCCAGCTTCAATGTGAGATGATACATACCTGGAGGAGGTCTTCGAAGTTTTGGGCTGCCATATGATTCATGTCCAAAGTGTTTGCCTGTATCTTGTGGTGGAGATATTAGTTGAATTGGTGATGAATGATCATGCAACATACCTTTCGTCCAATTTGTGAACAAGATTCTTGTCCTCTGCTGTAAGAATTTGTAATAAATGAATAAACAGCATCTTCCAAACACTGATTTCAAACTCATGCAAGAGATCTATGACAAGGGCATGGAAGATACTAAAACCCAAAGCAGCAAGGCGATCAGAAAATGCATTCTATAGGTTGGTAGTCATTGTCAGTGATAGAAGTTCAAACCTCACCAAGGTGGGAACCCAGGACTGTGACTTCAGAAAACCTTCTACCGCTGTGCTCCCCACTCCATAGTCCTGTTCATAAATCAATGAACGTGCAGTACTTACCATAACTCTTCGTCTATCATCATTGTGTTCTAGAGTCTCGCGCTGTTGCCTATCCTGAGGCATCCCATATTCTGTATGTGAACCTTTGGGATAAGACAATGCGGACATGGACAACCTCCAAGGTTTCGAACCATGGCTATAAGCACTCTGATGAAGTCAGAACTAATGCAAGACCCACGCACTACAAGTTCACATACTTCTCAGGATAATCTGCTGAATAGGTAAAGATCCTAGGGTAGAATCTGCGTGTGATGCTGTCGCAGCAATGAATCATGATTCCGTGCTCATATGCCTCTAGGAACTCATCATCAAGCAAGATCCTCCATTGCTCATGAAAAAGTCCCCTGCAGCAGTGGGTTGCACAGTTGCTGTTGGAGCCTGTAAAATCTTTGAAAGAATCTGGGAGCTAGCGAAGCAAGGTTAGTTATGCAAGATACATACTATGGGAAGGCATACCATCTCAAAGTACGCAACATGATTACTCAAGTTGCATGACAGCTTACAGTGGCAGTATTTGGACTTGTTGCCAAAATACATATAGGTGGGCCACAGCTTGGCATTGCCAAATGAAGTCAATTGTGTAGCATCAGACCAGAACATTAGACCAGCTATGACTTGGGGGAGATTGCAGCCAGGTTCCCTGGGCATGTCTTGCAATGTGCGGTGGGCATCAAGAAAAGCTGGGGACGTGTATAAGTCTCCATATATAGAGACTTCAGGATCGAGGTGGGAGGGATTCCAGTGCAGCTGGTATGGTTCGTAATGAAACAGTTTATTATTGTGGGTGTTGGCTAACTTTTCCTGCACGACAGCAACAAGAGAGCGATGGTACAGATCAGCTGCTGGATAGACATGAGGCCCTGGTGTCTTAGTTGTATGGGAAAAGGGCACCTTGATGGACACTGGTGTTCCTTTCCAACCAGCATCTTCATCTTGCCACTCTTCTCCATCTCCCTCATCATACTCATTTGCACCCAACTGCGAGTTAATTTGCTTCCAGCGGGTGGAGCTTACATCTGGAGCTTTATCATAGGTTCCACCGCCCAAGATCCCAACCAGCTTCATGTAATCCCCTTGCAATTTCTGTACACCTTGATTCCAATACCAATTACCAAGTTGAAAGGAGAAATGGTTGGGATAGGGGTGGTACTGAGATTCGCTGCCCGAAGCAACAGGAGAATGGGGTTGTTCTTTGGTAACAAAAGTGCTATTAGGAATAAAGGAGAGATCCGCCAGTGTGACATATTCTTCCGGGTCGTGGGATGGAGGTGTGGAGGAGAAATATTGGTGCACTAGCCCAAATATGTTTGGGTGTGTGCAAAATATTGGCAACACTGGTCTTTTATTCAAAGTCACGACTTGACCAACAGATGCAGGAGGTCGGTTGTGGACTTCCGAGGGCATGGTGGGTGGAGGCTGAAGAAGTATGTCCCTGAATCGCTTGGGCAGCTGGCGATTCTGTCACCTCGACTGACGCTAAGCCAAGCTCACATCCTGTCCGTCAATTTCCCCTACTTCATCCTCAAGGGCGGAGGTCTCTCCTACAGAAGCTAATAGGGGGTTTATTGGAGGCGTGTCAGCAGCTTTGGACTGTTCAGACACTGTTGAACCACTGGTGACCCCTAAGGGCAGGTGATTTGTGGACAAATTTGATGACTGAATAGGCAAATTAATTACTTCCGCAGTATTGAAGAATGTTCGCAGCCTTTCCTGTGGCTGACACATTCTTTCAAGGAAAGTATAGCCAATGACAGGCACTTCTTGGTATAAGAAGAAGAGTGCTGATGCTGGCTGAAGTGGTTTTGGGTGATGAAGGTGCATTTGCACATGCAGGTGTAAGCAGGTACTGACATTGAGTCATACCAGAAGCGAGTCCGTTAATGGAGGTTTTATGCGATGGCGAAATGGCAGCTGAATAATGTGATGGTGGGTGGCAAGAATGGCAGCCCAATAGTGTGATTTGGGTGGCAAGAATAATAGCCCAATAGTGTGATTGCAGGTGGTGAGAATGGCAGGATTTTGAGATGGCGGCGATGCTAAATGATAATCTTATCTATATAAACGCAAGAGATACAGATAAGTCATATTCTATTAGATTCTGCAATGTCCACACCATCTTCTCCATATTCTGAATCCTCAGTACTATCCATGGAATTCAAATTCGTGGCCAACCCCAAGGTCTTAAAGATGCTAGTGATGATCCTTATTGCCCGCCATGGTATACTTCACTAACACGGCCAAACGGGGGAACTAGCAACGTTCCAATGGTAAATCACTTGTTTTCATAATAAGTTCGCCACTCACATCTGTCACAGGCCCACCAATGAATACAGGGATAAAATACACCCTTCACGATTTCAGGCTTATCGAAATGCACATGAATTTCACTACCTGTGTTGCCTCTGTGCAACAGGTGGCCGATATGTCGAGGTATCTATATTTCTGTGCCCTGCAGGAATCTGCTGAGGGGAATATGTTGCTGAATGTGCGACTAGCACCTGCAGATACATGTGTAAGTGGGTTTGTTTGAACATCAAGGACGGTGGAGATATACTTACTTCTGATCAGTGAATGTTGAGAAATTCTTCAGGGGAACTTATGTACCTTCAGTATATTATTGAATCAGAGGTATGTTTGATGACTTATGCTGTCATCATATGCTCATGACTGTTAGAGATCACCAACCGCCCCGTACACTTCTGCCATATGCTTAAAAAGCAAAATAGTTGTGTAGACAGTATAGCCAGTTAGTGACTGACACCTGTTCCTTAGTGTAACAGGTATATATTATGTATTCACACAATAGGCAGGGGAGCTGCTAAGCCTATTCATATTAAGTCAAATAAATTTACCATATGCTGGTGGGACGTAAATAATCTCACCGAGTCTGGCACTCTTCGCATGCTTTGATCAATTGAGCACTAAGTACATGACAGGCATGCATTTAACCTTGTAGTTTGAATTGAATTTCTATGGTCTAAAGCTATAGAGACACTTGCAAACTACATTTGATTTTCCGAAATCATGATGGTGACTTTTCTTTTCTAAGTGCCTACTTAAAACATCCATTACTTGAGAGAAAGATGGAAAGAGATGCGAGTCCAAGCCATGGGGCTTATATAGTGATTGGCTGTAGAATTAAAACTCAGCCTGCAACACATGAAATAGACTTAAGAGCAACGTCATGGTGTCACACATCACAACACAATCACAAATGTACTACTAGGCAGTGAGTTTTACATAGACTGATGTGTAAAGAGTTTGTGCAACCTATATGAGGCTTAGGGCTTGTTAATACACAAGAAATTAGTTGGTAAGAAATAATTGAGAACAAAAAATCAGCCTAACCTGGGCCGGAAGTAGAATACCAAATTCACCAAAACATGACACAATAGCCGTTAGTAGGCAACAATGCTTTACTACTAGTACTAGTACTATGCAAGGTGTATCATAGTAAGACTACCCATTTCTTGATCAATGATGAATATTGTGGGGCAGTTACCAGATCTATCCTCATCGTCCTAGACGTACATTCAATAATCAAGTGGAAACAGAGGTACTAGTAGCCAGTGACATAGTACCTATTCTTCAGGAAGGATAAGACGTGGTGCCTTGATCAAACATAATGAATGAGCGACAAAGCAAGGATATAGAATAGATCGCAGATAGAACAAATTCACATATATTGATTTGCTTCAATCTTTTCTTGACAGGGATGTTGAACCAACATTATACCTTCGTACCATGCAGCGTACTGATCAAATGAGTAGGCAAGAGATACCAGAAGGCTGATGAACCAGCGCCAGATGAAGGATGCCTCACATCAGAACCTAGTGCATGATGAACCAGCCTTTGATGAGTCTCCAGAGCCAAACACAGGTGGTACATACCCATGATCATGAACGGAGTGCTCATGAACTTCTCCGATGCATATGGCCTTGGCAGCGAATTGACACCTCCAAGTTTGGAGTTGATTCCACTAAACAAGTCTGGGGTGTACATCAAGACAGAGATCAAAATTTGACACACTTCATGCCTGGATTCGCACAATATTGGTCGTTCTTCAATCGTTCTCTCGCTAGAACAGGAAGATTACAATGGAGGTCACAGACATCGCAATATAATTCCTGACAGTGTATTGGGAAGTAGACAAGATGTAAGCATCATTCAAACCGATCAGGCAAGAGTACATACACCAGCGATAATGTCACCAAATGATTTGATGGCATGATAGATATCTGGTATCATCCCCAGATCTCTGCCTATCCTTTATTGCTGATGGAATGTTGAAGCAACCTCATGTCCTACTTAAAATGAGTTCATTTCAGTGGTTGAATCAGAGACGATGCACCAGACATGATTGACTTGCAGCAGGTGGGGATACATCTGTCAAACAATGATCAGCAACTAGAAACGAAATTCGATGTCCCATTTACTCATCTCTAAGACAGATTAAAATACCCAGGAGATAAGAAGCCTATGGTATTAAGAATTTTGCACATGTTGAGCAAAGTGTTGATGAACCAGTTGATTGTCTGATCACTAACACTTGCGTGATCAAGAATCCACCAGGAAGATAAGCTGTTCGGCTCATGGAAATGGTATTCCATGAAGCATTTCGCAGTTGCTGTAGGTTGAGAATCTGATCCTTTCTGGTGTCCTGAACTTACCACAGGTCTACTAAATGGATTACTGTAGCAGATTCTTGGTGTCAGCAAGACACACCCTGTGACTAAAATATCAGGAGATATAGTAATCCCAACATCATGCAAGAATGGTGAATAAACTAGAGCCTGTACAAATAGTCAATTGAACACATGATGTGTCACTTACCAAGCACTGGCCAGCTATGGTCGAGTCGATGATGCCAGTGCTAATAAGTGCCAAGTGATCCTGTGGGTTCTTGGATGAGAATTTGACCATTGAGAGGAAGTTTGTGCATATAACATTGGTCGGGGGCGATGATACACATCTCTGCTGGGATCATCATGATCTGATCCAACTTCAGTACTGATAATGTCTGGATAGCTTAGTTGGCATCCCTAAGTGAATTGATTAGATAAGAGCACATACATCACTAAATGATTTGATGGCATGGTAAATGTCAATGGAACTCGAAGGCCATTCTGCAGGTTCAATACTGTATTGCTGTCAGTATACGTCACATTATACAAATTTACATCTTCTTAATTTTGTGCCGATACAATCTATGTATTGTAAGAGCTGTCCTACAGATGACATTCATGCTAATCTACTGTGACACATATCAAAAAGGTTCCACTAGACATACCTGATTGAAACAGAGTTTTATGGTAACCGTAGGCTCAATTGCAATCTTGACTGTGCTGTCCTTAGTGTAACAAGATGCTACAGTTTGGATAAGCCCACAATAATTCCCGTCCAAAATAAGGACATGCTGGTTCTTCTTGTGTGGAGGAGCTGGGCTCAGGTCTCTAGCAGGGATATGATAGTGTTTGATTGCAGCGCCTGCACTGTTGGATGTGCAAAATGCTTTGACACAACCTTCAGGTGAGGGTCCATTTTCACCGCAGAAAGGGTCGGGACAAGCCGTTGATACAAATCGCTTGCTCAGCCTCCCCCCCATAAAGTTTGGTAACACTTTCAACACTATATGAACATTAAGAAAATTTGATGAAAACTCCTTGGTCATCAACCAAGGTAGCGGGCCTGTCATAAAATTAAAATGAGTCTACTTTATAATGCCACAATGAGGGTCTTACCGCTGCCTGGCAATTCCTTCACTCCAGTGTCAATGCTGTCCTGGCTGTCAATAGCCCAGGGGTCGGATGTGGATGAACTGGGATTGATGCTGGATGCAGGATCATGCACAACATCAACATCACTGGGGATTGTGGACCATGTGGTCCATCCGCTGGACGACAAGGGACTGGGATCGGTGATGGATGTGGATGAGCCAGAGGGTATTATTTCGATAGGTGGTGTAATGCTTCAGGTTGGTGGTGCCAGGTAAGATCTTTTCTGCATGTCGCAAAATGAAATTAATTCTGGGCTTTCAAGCATCACACCACTTAACCTCATTCCATACCTTAGCAGTCGTCAATATTGAAATCACTATAAAATGTGCATGCTGCTCACCTGGTGACGACATTGTGGCGTTTGAGGGTAGTGTGCTGCTGCCCATGGACAGCAATGGTGCAAACTTTGGAGGAAAGACTGTAGAGCATAGCCCAGTAGCCCCCCTGTCACCCCCACTTACAAAAACTTCCTGGCCAATATCCTTCTTGAAATAATCCAAGTCAACATTGTGTAGTTTGATGACAAATCTGATTTAAATGTTGATCTACTACAAGTCAGAGATGTTTGAGTCATAAGGTGAGATACTTACAAGTGAATGGTCACCATCACAAATTAGGGTCAAGCGAGCATTTGGAAAGTCCACGCTTTGCACAACCCCTTTTGCCCCATACTCCGGCCCACGGGCAACACTCACCACATCTCCAGGTTTAACATTGTAGCCTCTTTCCTTCATGTACTGGATTGTCTGGGTGAGGTAGGTCCACTGAACCATTGCTATGGAAACTAAGACACTCGACAGTCCAGACTCTGTATCAACTGGTGTGAGGAGATCCCTGAACCACAATTTGCTATCTCCCTTAGACAACCAGTCAACAATGCTGCATTTCCTGGTGTGCTCCCCATTCAGGACTTGAATGAAGGAAGTCTCCAATTTCAATTGAGTCAGAGTCCAGGGGAAGCACAAAATGTTGTTGCATTGGTAGGTTTGAATTGAGTGTGTGACTCAATGGACACCAATCTAAGTAATATTTTGATACTTCCACCTGTACAGTAGGTGTTAGTGCTCCTCCAAGATGATGTTGTGGCTTACTGGCAGGAGGTTTTCTTGCCTGCATAGGCAGCAATCAAGGAGAAGACTCGAGATTGGTCTTGTCACAACATTGAGACTGACAGAGATTACCCTTGACCATCGCTACAGGAAAAGAAGACTGTTGTGTGGTGGCATGACGAGTCCACATTCTATGCCAATGATCGTCGCAAAACACGATGGGTCCATGAAAGTGAAACAGCTGTGCCCTATGCGAAGGGGGAGGGACCATCACAGATGATTGCAGATCTCGTTTCTGCTGATTATGGGTGGTTGCGCTCACCTGATGGAAAAGAGGAGGCTTGCATTTTCTTCAAAGCAGGAAAAAATGGTGAAGGGTACTTCACGAATCAGGACATCCTCGAGCAAGCTGAAAGGTCGATGTATATTCTAGAGAAGTACTACACCAATAAAAACCACATCCTCGTCTTTGATAATGCAACAACTCACTTAAAAGTGCAGACAGAGCTCTCTCTGCAAGAAATATGCCAAAGGGAACCTTGAAAGCACAAACCAATTGGGGTGTGGAGGTTAATGTTCGAGACACGGCTGGCAAACAAGTTTACAGCAGAGATGGCAAACCATTGAAAGAAAAAATTCGAATGGACAATGCAACTTTTGCAGATGGATCGAAACAGTCACTCTATTTTGGTGAAGATGCTGGACCCAAAGCAGGCCTCTTCAAAGGGATGGCTGTAATCTTGTATGAGTGAGGACTTATCCAAGAATCAAAGCTGCGAGCACAGTGCAAGGACTTCAAGTGCGTGAAGGGAGCAACAAATTGCTGTTGTTGTCGGGTGCTGTACAATCAGCCAGACTTCATTGCCATCGAGTCAAATCTAGAGAGGACCTGCAAAGCAAGAGGATTT